GGTAGTGACGGGTGGTGGGTGGTGGTGGTGGATGGCAGGTGAGTGGTTGGTTGTTGGGTGTGGGGGGGGGGGGGGTGGGTAGTGGGTGATGGTGGTGGTGGTGGCAGGGGTGGGTGGCTAGTGGTGGCAGGTGGGTAGTGAGTGGTGGTGTCAAGTAAGTGGCGGGTGGTGGTGGCGGGCGGTGAATGGTAGTGGCAAGTGGTGGGTGGTGGCGGGTGGATGACAGGTGGGTGGTGGTGGTGGTGGCGGCAGCGGCGGTGGCTGGTGGTGGCTGGTGGTAGCAGGTGGGTGGTGAGTGGTGAGTGGTGGTGGCAGGTGGTGGTGGAGGGTGGTGGGGGGTGGTGGCAGAAGACGGTGGTGGAAAATGGTGGCGGAAAATGGTGGCAGGTGATGGTTAGTGTTGGGTGGTAAAAAAAAAAAAAAAACTTAAAACTCAAAACGGAAACACATTTTTTGAGTTTACATTTTTTGGCCAAATTTATAAACTAAGACCATTGATTTATAAATCAAAAATTTACCAAACAAGTTTTTATTTGAGTTTTTAAAATTTTTGTAAATATAAACAGAAAACTGAAAACGTAAGTGTTACCAAACAGTAATGATTAGATATCGTTCCAATAGACGAAAATGACTATCAAATCTACGAAAAAAATAGAATATTGGATCCATAAGAAAAATTAAATATTTGAATATTATTGAATAAAAGTTGTCTTTTGCCTTAAGGTTTAGATAGCTATTTATAATAAATTAAAAATTAATACTTGGAGACCAAACAATTGTCAACACCCAAAAATCTAAAATTAGGAAATAATTATTTAGCCCAATTCTTGACAAGAAAAAAAACTTAAAAATTAGGAAAACAAAATAAATTCAAATTAAGAAACTTAATAATTCTAGAATATTTATCATAAATTACAAGAAGACTAGTTAAATATAATATTAAAATAATTAAAATAAAAATATAAAAAAATTATACACTTCTTTTTCAAATTTTTTATTAAAAAATATATTTATTATGTTAAAATTTTGTGTCGGCCACGGAATCAAGGATCTCCTAAAGTTTACACATTTTTACTTGTTTTTGGTTTTTCAAAAATATTTTTTCAAAAAATTCTACTTTCTTGCTTTTTGTATTTTTTTTTACTGAATTTTTTAATATTTTAAACAATTTTTTAATTTTTAGACACACCTAGCATAAATACACATAAAAAGTATAATTTCTGTGAAAAAAATCTTTTAAAAATTCACTAAATATAAAAAATATAAATAAAAAAATACGAGAATTCAGTATATTTTTTATTTCTATGTATTTATTAATTTTTTAAAATATTTTTTTACAAATTTTTTACTTTTTAGATACATCTAACTAAGGTACATCTAAAAAAGTAAAAAAAAATGTTTAAAATTTAAAAAATATTCACTAAAAACAAAAGAATACGAAAATCAAAAAATTCAGTTTTCAAAAAACTTAATCTACAAAACTCAAACCAAACACACTCAATAATAACTTAATAAGAAATAGAAAGTTTAAAACTGGCCATAATTGATACAATCGACAGGTTATAATCCACAAAAATAATTTATGGTTCAAACAATCACATACAAGCATAACACACTGACATCCATAAAATGGAGGTACTTTAGAATACACCTAGTTTTAACCACAAAGCTCTCTCTCAGCACTTGAACTTTACCTGTTGTTTAGGTGACAAACTCTAAACCAATAGGCTGCCGAAGGAAGAGATGATCTCCTAACTAAACTAACTAACAAGCATTCTAACTCTGCCATGACCTTCTGAAATCTGGAATTGTTCAGATATACCAAGATGGGCCATCAGAAGCGAGACATGAGTAAGCAACTCTCCACCTTTTGTGAGCTGCTTAGCATGATATTGCCATCGACAGTGAGTCGCGGCATAAGACATCATCTCGACCCAAACATGACTCACCACCTTCCATTGCCTCTCTATCTCCAGATTTTGTAGAGTTTTGGCCAGCCTACATGCATCAAATAGCACCGATTTGCTTCTATCTCCTTTCACTTCAGATGGCATAACTTTAGTGTTCACTTGAAGTAACTCGGTGCAAGCTTCATAAACTTCTGTTATGGAATTGTATTCTTGTAAAAAATCAATGGCCTCGGCGCAAGTGTCTTGAAATCTGATCTGTCCAATTCCATTTGGCAGCATGAAGGGGCACATGACAAGAAGATACAACATATAATCCGATAACATCTTGCTTATTTTGCGTAGTTCGCTTATTTTGCGCTGTGAATTTTCATCAGAACTTGAGTTAGTGCTTAGATGATAGCAGATATCGGTGGCTATGTGCCAGATAAGAATGCTCTGGTCGAATTCCACCTCGACGCTCCAGCCAAGTTGATCAAGACAGTCCATTATCTCCAGTACCGGAGAACCTCTAAAAGCACATAACTGCTTACATTCCTTAATGTTCTTGGCACTCATTGATTTTTCCGTAAGCAATTTAAAGATCAATTCTTTCAACTCTGCTGGGACAGCTTTACTCTTGTACCGAAATCTCTTTAATTTTTCACGAATGAACTTCCAGATTTGACCTGGTGTTGCAGACTTCTCTTTGAGGCAAAAAAATAACAGATTGTATTCAGCCATATGATCAGACCATCTCTTGTTTGCAGGTACGAGATGCCAACATCGGAGAAAATATATTGTTTTATTGATCCAATCTACCAGCAGATTTTTATGCCTACCCAACCAAAGCATTGTCCAATCTGAGGAAAAGAATAGAATTACCTCGTAGAATTCTAGAATATTAGCTCCACCCAGCAATGCGCAAGTAATTATCACATTGGTTTCTCGGAAATTATGCCAACGAATGATCAGGAAGGCACAAAACACACAAGCGACCAAAGATAAACTGATCAATCGGAGAAATAATGCCAAGCCAGAGCGAGAATATATCACAATTGCCTTGGTGTAGAGAACATCATAAATGAATCCAAGTTCAACCTCGATCACTTGAAAAGCCACCTTGCAAGAGTGTTTGTGGAAGAAAGACCGGCTTTTTTTGTAATCCTGGAAGCTAAGTATGAGATCAGCAAAGAGCTTCTTGAAAGTATCGAAAGAGGAATACGCTTGATCTAAAATGTCTTCATCTGGAATATTGTTGATTTTTGCAGCAGTTGATTGGAAAGGATCCTCTTCTGTGGGAGTTTCAATCAGTGGCCCTCTATTAATTTTAAATCCCTCTGATTCTTTGGCACTATAGGCATCCATGAATTTGGCATAGTTAGGCCCCGGGTCAGGAGGAGGCAGCATGGAGTCTCTAAATTGATCGCTGCTGGCCATATATTGAACCCAATTCCTCTCTGCAAACTTGATCATTCCAGCCACAAGCATTGGAATGGCTAAATAATCAACTAGGCTGCCCGTCCAGGACCTGTTTATGATGTAAATGGCTACTGCAAAAGAGCTGACAAGACTGAACAAGTGCCTAAACCAGAGTTCGTTGTCCTCCAGAGAATAGGCTGTGATGGTGTCTGGGCTGCAAAGCTGGACAAGAAAAAGAGGTGCCCAAAATGTCATTGTTATATAGTTCGGATCTAAAGAGTTTGTTTTACAGTCATCTTGGCCATGCGAGAGGACATTTAATGAGAAATTTGTTGCCCAGTCTGCTATTTGGTAGGCAAGCCAGAGAACTACTGTCACCCACATTTGATGTTTGTATTTTCTCCTGTTACCCAAAAAAATTAGAGCAGTTTGTAAGGAAAAGCTAAGAAAAACTAGTGCACGCAGCTCCCATAAATTCCAACGTCTTGCAAAGCTTTCTGGGAAAAGCTGAAACAAACTTCTCCTCTTTGCGACAATCAAAGTACTGAAAACTGAAAACTAAAAAATGTTAAAAATGGAAAAATTCATAGTTAAGGTAAAGCAAATATTTTGTATTGAAATGAATGCACCTTTAAAACAATTAGACATCCAATAAAATGAAATTTTTTTGTTCAAATCAATCATGTAGCAACACATTTTGATGAGCATTATAACATATCTTTAATGTTTTGTCATGTCAAAACTTTCCTCTTAGATTTTAGTTTATTATATTTGATTATTTTACTCCTAAGAAAACCTTAAGAAAATATATTGGAAAAAACATATTTGGGATTGCTTTAGATCTCTAAATTTACCATTTTGAAACAAAAGTATATCCTATTTCAGAACGTGCGATCCAAAATGTGGTTTGCTAACATATCAACATTTTCTGGTAACACAACTTTGAAGAGAGTGCATGGGCCATTTTTATTCTTAATTTTCATTCAATTTATTAACGAGTGTTACTGATTATATGTAGAAATTTAATGTATAAAGAAAAATAGAGAATTGTATTATTGATTGATATAATGTTATATTTATTACAATGATTCATGATTCCTATATATAGAAGAGGGTGAGTGTGTAGTAGGTAAGGAGTAGGTGAAGTGGAGGTGGTAGTGGTGTAGTGGGTTAGGTTTAGTAGAGTAGGTTTAAGTGGGTGAAGTAGGTGATAGGTTTTAACAGCCCCCCGCAAACTCAAGGGGGATAGGAACTAACCAACTTGAGTTTGGAGAGAATAACAAAACAAGAAAATACATAAAAATAAAAGAGGATAAGAGACACTGTATGGTCGTGTCAGACCATTGGTGAAGACACTGGATGGTGGTGTCATAACGTTGTAGAGAACACTGTATGGGGGTGTCATAACCATGTAGAGGACACTGTATGGTGGTGTCATAACGGTGTAGAGGACACTGTTTATTTTTATTTTTATTTTTATTTTTATTTTTATTTTTATTTTTATTTTTATTTTTATTTTTATTTTTATTTTTATTTTTATTTTTATTTTTATTTTTATTTTTATTTTTATTTTTATTTTTATTTTTATTTTTATTTTTATTTTTATTTTTATTTTTATTTTTATTTTTATTTTTATTTTTATTTTTATTTTTATTTTTATTTTTATTTTTATTTTTATTTTTATTTTTATTTTTATTTTTATTTTTATTTTTATTTTTATTTTTATTTTTATTTTTATTTTTATTTTTATTTTTATTTTTATTTTTATTTTTATTTTTATTTTTATTTTTATTTTTATTTTTATTTTTATTTTTATTTTTATTTTTATTTTTATTTTTATTTTTATTTTTATTTTTATTTTTATTTTTATTTTTATTTTTATTTTTATTTTTATTTTTATTTTTATTTTTATTTTTATTTTTATTTTTATTTTTATTTTTATTTTTATTTTTATTTTTATTTTTATTTTTATTTTTATTTTTATTTTTATTTTTATTTTTATTTTTATTTTTATTTTTATTTTTATTTTTATTTTTATTTTTATTTTTATTTTTATTTTTATTTTTATTTTTATTTTTATTTTTATTTTTATTTTTATTTTTATTTTTATTTTTATTTTTATTTTTATTTTTATTTTTATTTTTATTTTTATTTTTATTTTTATTTTTATTTTTATTTTTATTTTTATTTTTATTTTTATTTTTATTTTTATTTTTATTTTTATTTTTATTTTTATTTTTATTTTTATTTTTATTTTTATTTTTATTTTTATTTTTATTTTTATTTTTATTTTTATTTTTATTTTTATTTTTATTTTTATTTTTATTTTTATTTTTATTTTTATTTTTATTTTTATTTTTATTTTTATTTTTATTTTTATTTTTATTTTTATTTTTATTTTTATTTTTATTTTTATTTTTATTTTTATTTTTATTTTTATTTTTATTTTTATTTTTATTTTTATTTTTATTTTTATTTTTATTTTTATTTTTATTTTTATTTTTATTTTTATTTTTATTTTTATTTTTATTTTTATTTTTATTTTTATTTTTATTTTTATTTTTATTTTTATTTTTATTTTTATTTTTTAAATAGATATATATTCTATAATGGGTGCTGGCAACAGCACATGGTGGGGGGAGAGGAGTCTGACAAAAGAAAGAGTGAGAATCAAGAGTGAGGCAACAACACATGGAGAGAAATAAAGTGTGTTTTTCAAAAAGGATGAGAGAGAGATGGTGAGGTTGGACTGCGTAATTAGGGATGATGGGTTATATGAAAAGATGGGGAACAAGACCATGTGAATTATATAGGGAAAGGTGGTGTGTAGATTAAACAAAAAGATCCATAACTGACCAGGGTTTTGACCACCTCATTTCTCACGCGTCCTCTCCTCGCTCTCTCTCTCGCTCAACTTTCTCTCCCAACCAAGTTCTTTCTCAGCTTTCTCTGTAGAAGCATAAACTGCAGTGGCATCACCTGCTCTTATTAGACGATTTTTTGGCATCGGGCAACTGAGAAGAACGCAGAAGAGAGAGCCATGGTAGAAGCAGCCATGGTGGTGTAATGACTGTCAGCTCGGCCGATGAATGCTTGCGTATTGTATCCGAGGAACACAAGGTGGTGTTTATGGATGTACTGGAAATACAGACAGGGTAACAAAAGAGAATTGCATGAGGTTTGGTATGGATGGAGTTATTATGAAACCAGTTTCAGTTGATAAATTGAGGAGTGTGCTGTTAGAGCTTTTAGAGGATGGGGTTCTGTTTGAAGCCAAGTGAGAGTGTGTGGAAATTGCTTGCATTTGAAGGGCCGTGTGGAAGAAAGAAGCCTTTGGAGAAGTAAGTTGACAGAAGGTGACAGAAGAGAGAATGATTTCTCGACACCCTTTGCAGGGTTTAAGTGGGTGAAGTAGGTGGAGAGTATGTGGATTTAGTGGGTTAGGTTTAGTGGAGTAGGTTTAAGTGGGTGAAGTAGGTGGAGAGTATGTGGATTTAGTGGGTTAGGTTTAGTGGAGTAGGTGAGAGTGGGTGAAGTAGGTGGAGAGTAGGTGGTGGGTTAGGTTTAGTGGAGTAGGTGAGAGTGGGTGAAGTAGGTGGAGAGTAGGTGGTGGGTTAGGTTTAGTGGAGTAGGTGAGAGTGGGTGAAGTAGGTGGAGAGTAGGTGGTGGGTTAGGTTTAGTGGAGTAGGTGAGAGTGGGTGAAGTAGGTGGAGAGTAGGTGGTGGGTTAGGTTTAGTGGAGTAGTGGAGGTGGTAGTGGTGTAGTGGGTTAGGTTTAGTGGAGTAGGTGAGGTGGTAGTGGTATAGTGGGTTAGGTTTAGTGGAGTAGGTTCAAGTGGGTGAAGTAGGTGATAGGTTTTAACATTATATTAAATTAACATAATGTGAAAAAATAAATGGCAAAATTGATGCAACTGAAACTATAGGATCAAATTAACACAATAGGCAACCTAACGGGACCACACGTGTAATTTGTTCAAATAGAAAATAAGAAGTGCTTTTAAGAAAAATTAAATGTGCTAGAAGAAAATTTAATTTTGTAAGACAAGAAAAAAAGAAAGAGAACATAGAGAAGACAGAAAGTGTCATTTTTGTGTTTAGAGTTCTTATGCCGAGTGATAAAAAAATAAGAAGGGCCTTTAAAACAATTAATTTTAAATGATTTAGAGTGGACATAATTATAATTTATCATGATTAAACAAAAATAATTTGCCAATTTACGAAAACTAGTGTAATTATAAAAAAAATTTGAGGGGCACGTGCTCGTCCTAGTCCCTTCATGCATCAGCCAGTGCCAACGAGGGACAAGGGTACCTTCCGCTATAAGGGCATTTCCAAACCCGGACTCTAACTTATATTAACTTAAGGAGAATTCTATTATACACACTCCATACCACATGCACTCTTGTTACACTATTTTTCTCTTTACTTATGACCAATTTTCTTCGTGACATTATTTTGAGATATTTGATTATGACATTTTTGTGCTTGATTATGATTTTCTTTTAGTTATGACTCCGAAGTATAGAGTTATGCCATTTTTTTCTGTAATTATAAAGTGCATATGTACACACCTTAGTGGAGTGTGTACCGTAGTGCTTTCCAATTCAGGAAAAATCACTCAAAAACTAAAATTTATATGTTTTACTTTTTTTTTCTTTTTTTTTTTTTCTGTTAACCCAGATCGATGGAGACTCAAATGTTTACTCATACTTTTCAAGACCAATTTCTAGCTTTCAAATTTACAATCCGCTGATTAGTGAAGTTTCTACTCAAATTCAAGCTTAAATTTAAGTTTGTCAATTGTAGTGTTGTTTCATATCAAATTAAGACTTTTAATCAGATTTTGAAGGACTAGAGTAGAGATGATGAGCTAACTAATATACAAGATAAGACTGTATCTAATAGACAGCATAAAATAGATTTAAGAATTTCTTAGAATTACCTTTGGCTAGCATGGATTATCTCTCTCTCACAAGTGTCATTCAATACTACGAGTACGAGGTCTTCATAACTCCAATACGGCCATTGCAAACCCTCCTGTTTCACTGCCTCTGTTTTTTTTTTGGTTTTTTTGGGAAGAGAAGAAGCCAAACAACAATCAGAGTCGATGCTTATAGATTGGCGCCTTTATGGTCAACTTTAATGCCCATATAAACTAGGGTTTGTTTGGAAAGTTCTTCTTTTAGTATTTTTTAATTTTTTTAATTAAAATATGAGATGAAAAAAATTTAAAATATTCATAAATAATTTTTTTTTTACTATTTATAAAAAGATATACAAACGGAGGCACAAAAGGGAAAAAAATGATCTCTTTTTTATATGATTTTTTTATTTTTTAATTTTTTTAATAACTTTTTAACTGTATTAACTTTTTTTTCCAAACAGACCCTCAAATTACATGTTTTGCACACCCACGTGAGCGATGTCAGGATTTTCTGGATTGATTTTTTTTAGGGGGTACTTAAAATATTTTTTAGATAATTGAGATTTAATTTTATATAAATTGGGTGTATAATAATTATTTTACCTTTTGATTTTTAAACTCTAACACCGTCACTCTAACAAAAATCATTCTAGAGGATCCTAACTCATGTTAGTGTACTTGAAATTTTATGACTTGAAATTGACAATTACAAATTGAATCTGTAGTTAGACAAGCACGTGTACATGAATGGTTAGTTATGTAAAGACAAACGACAATGCTACGTAGCTCAAATTTTATGGCTCAAAAGTGGCTCAAATGGCCAAAACGACGTCGTTTTGAGTACAGAACAACATAAAAATGGCCAAAACGACGTCGTTTTGGCCATTTGAGCCACTTTTGAGCCACAAAATTTGAGCTACGAGACATTTTCCAAAGACAAATTGAGAATAAAAATTTTGTGATAAAAAAGTGTCACTTTACTCTTTGCATTACATAATGGATGATATGAGTTTTTCTATGACAAAACATCATCATTATAACTCCTACTTCTAAAAATTTCACCGTGACATTATCCTATCCGATTAAATAAAAATAAAATATTGTAAATTAAAATTTTATAATGCAAATATAGAAATTCTTTTCCTAACTTATAAAAATGATCTTGTGGGCTTTTAATGAGATCAGATGACTAGTACATTCTGTTACTAGCCCCCATCTTCTGACCTAGTGTGAAATAATGTGTTGTTACCTTTATGGCTATAAAACTAGAATACTTTCTCACAAGAAACCACTCTCCCTCCTGTTTTTGCTTCCCAACATTAATCAAACACAATGCCAAAAACATGACAAACTGCACACAACCTACTCCCAACCCATCACTCAAAATGGATGCATATATTCATCCTATAACAACATAAAATTAAATCCCACCATACCACACTTCAATCTCTCTCTGTCTCAATATGGAGAAGAGAAGGCAACTCAAAGATGAGTTTCTGTTGCAACATCCATATCTCTTAGTGCTAGCTCTAGCTTTGGGATTCATTATCATGGATCCATTTCAAATGAGTCCGGTGGGAGGGCACGAATTCAGGCCAGTGAAGAATGACATTGCACCGTACAAGCAAGTCATGGAGAATTGGCCAAAGGACAACATGAGCCGGTTAAGCCTTGGGAATTTGGAGTTTGTGGATGAAATATTTGGGCCTGAATCACTGGAGTTTGATATTTGGGGACATGGTCCTTACACGGGGTTAGCTGATGGACGAGTGGTAAGATGGACTGGACAGGATGGAGGTTGGCAAACATTTGCAATTGCAACAAAGAATTGGTGAGCTCTATTATGATGATGACTTCAAAATATGCATGTAGCAACATCACTTGAAAATTGGAGGAATTAATATTTTTGTACTAAACAAATGAAGTATTGTCCTACCAAAAATGAGTCTCCAGGAGCAGTAGTGGCGGTTTCAGAATTTTTTTTTTTATTGGGGTCAATTTTTTTTTTCTCACTCTTGTTAATACCCATTTCTAATAATTTGACAAAGACAATTTATAAATTTTAAATAAAAAAGGGGAAAAAGTTTGTGCATTCATACTAACGGGTTGTTTGAGATGATCTAAATAAGTACACTTTTTGACTTTTTATAAAATATGGGTTGGGTTTGAAATGATGTGTTAGAGAGATGATGTGACTTAAATAAGATGATGTGACTTAAATAGGATAATGACTTTTTGACTTTTTGTCTTTTTTCAAATATGCCAAACTTGTCCTAATAATGTCTAAAAAAATGCAATACATTAACTTCTATTGTTGATCTTAATGAATTTCCATATTTTGAAATTGTTACACTTGAAGTAGAACACAAATAATTAATGTTTGATTATTTCTTAATTAATATATGCTAATTATGGTGAAATTGGCTCTTGTAGGACGGAGAAACTCTGTGCTAGAGGTGTCGACTCCACTACATCTAAACAGTGGAAGGTTGAGCCATGGTGTGGCCGCCCCCTTGGCCTAAGGTTTGACAAGAAAAGAGGAGATTTGTACATAGCAGACGCTTATTATGGCCTCTTGGTCGTGGGGCCTGAAGGAGGTGTTGCTACTCCTTTAGCAACTCGTGTTGAAGGAAAGCCTATATTCTTTGCAAATGACCTTGACATCCATAACAATGGATCCATATTCTTCACAGACACCAGTAACAAATACAATAGGGTGTAAGTTCATAATATGCATGCTTGGTTGTTTTATCTGTTGTGGATTTATGTTTTTACAAGAGATAATTTTGTGAAATTTCACTATAGGAACCATTTCCTTATTCTGTTGGAAGGAGAAGCCAGTGGTAGACTTCTAAGGTATGATCCTCCCACAAGAACAACTCATGTTGTATTGGATGGCTTGGCTTTTCCAAATGGAGTACAATTATCTAAAGATCAATCATTTCTGCTCTTCACTGAGACTACCAATTGCAGGTATTAAAATTCTCTCCCTCTCTCTCATACACACACACCCACACTATTGTTGTCCAATTCAAGATGAGCTTTTGTGTTTCGATCAATGGAAAGAATTATCCTTCTGGCCACTGTGATTGAAGAATGATATTAATAATTTTAGAACAAATGATACCTTGGTCCTATAATTTGTTTTTTTGTGTCAATTTTATCATTGAAATTTCAATTGTATCTATCAATTTTGCATTTAATTTTTCACATTATCATTTTAGCCTAATTGATAACATGTGTTAAGAATTTAGACTAAAATCAAGGAGAAAATAGTTCATTCAAATGGGAATGAATCATTCAAATTGGACGTCAACCTCTCAATCACCTTAAGAAGAATGAATACACAATCAACTAGGCCTAGCTTAGTTGGCCACCATGCCTTCCTTAGGGCTTATTCCCAAGAAGGTCATGGGTTCAATTTTCCTTAGGGGAGTTGAATGAAGGGAGTGCAAGCATTTAGGTGCTTTGTCATGGGTAGGGAGATTTTCTCTCATAGGTGCTAATCTAACAACTAACAACTAACATTTGTCGATTAAAAAAAAAAAAAAAGAAGAAGAAGAATGAATACACTGTTTTTCTCTTTGATTTCAATCCAAATTGATATAATTAAAACTATAAGAATCAAATTGACTACAATAATTTGCCCATAATTTTGTAAGTTATTTCATTGGAAGATCATATACAATCATGTTCATTACCCAAAATGCTTTATCTAGGTAACAACCTAGTATCTAATAAGCATACAAACTTTTTCACTTCATTATTCAATTCAAACAAAATGGAAAATTTCAAGGTTGCAATCCAAAATTTTCATTAGTAGCCAATCTGGAAAACAGTCACACACTAACATGCTCTTCTTTTGTTTACCCATGGTCTTAATTTGATTTTAATTGAACGTTTGGTACAGGCTAATGAAGTATTGGCTAGAGGGTCCAAAAACCGGCAACATTGAGCTCGTGGCAGACCTACCCGGATTTCCAGACAATGTGAGGCTTAATGAGAAAGGCGAATTCTGGGTAGCAATAGATTGTTGTCGAACTCGGGCACAAGAGGTTCTAATTCACAATCCTTGGATGAGAAGCATATACTTTCGATTGCCAATTCAAATGAGCTACTTGGCTAGGTTGATGGGGATGAAAATGTACACGGTCATGGCACTTTTCAATGAGAAAGGAGAGATCTTGGATATTCTTGAAGACAAAAAAGGGGAAGTAATGAAGCTAGTTAGTGAAGTTAGAGAGGCTAAAGGGAAGTTGTGGATTGGAACCGTGGCTCACAACCACATTGCTACCCTTCCTTATCCTTGAAAGTTTTCATTATGGTAAAAGAGCTTTTGGCGTTGAGAAGAGTTTGCTTGCTAGTCATGTAGGTGTTTTCGAGTTATTTGTGATTTGTATAACTATATTGACACTAAAATGACTTGAGATTTATTACGTTTTAATTATTTGTGATTTGTATAACTATATTGGCACTAAAATGATTGGGATTTTTGTTATAGCTTTGTTTGATGTTATTAGTGTTGAAATATTGTGATTGTTGTAACCAAACATTGCATGATGATTTTTTTTTTTTTTGGACATAACTCAATTAAAGTTGACAATTCCTTAAACATGTAGATATAAGAAACTTCGAATATTATATCCCTTTTGGTGGGATATATAGTACCCCTGATATTGCATATACCTACCACTAATGTATCATTGTTCATCTAACCATAAAAAATAATCATTAACTTTTTATTCCGTACAAAATCTTACTCTAATGATATATAGAAAAAGTGATCCACAATATATATATAATTCATCATATATTATATCCAATCATACGTCTTACTCCTTATATCTAATTGGGAACAAGGCCTAATAATATGTTTAAATTGAGTGATTTGATGTGAAATAATAGAAAGACTCGTGGTTGGTTTAGAAATAGAAAAACACACTAAGAAATGATGAAAAAAAATTACTATCATATAATATTGCTTTATTTTTCACACAAAAAATGATAATATGTGGTAAAAAATGAATTTGATTGATTGTATATTTTTTATAATACCAAAATTATTCATAAAATTTCATAAAAATAATAAAGAACTCACACATTTTCTTATTTTACATGCTCTTTTTTTTTTTTTACTCATCTAAATATAGCTAATAATAAGAAGAAAAAAAACTTTATTTTTATTATTACTAACCTATCACTCGTGCTATGCATGAGATAATTATAGATATTTATATTTGTTTTAATTTTTTTTAATATATAAATTATGTTTTTTAAGATTTTTTTATAAAAATAATTTAATAATCTTATCACTAAACATAGTGTACAGAAGAAGTTAAAAAGGCTACTGCATTAACTATGCACAGGCTGTATCTATAATTATTTGTATAAGGGAATTTTAAATGCTAATGAGAGATTATGACCAAATCAATAAATGCAGGCATGTGGATTGGAAAAAATTAATAAATGCTGATCAGTGGATTTTGACCAAATCAATAAATGCTGAGGTTTTTTTTTAAAAAAATAAAAAATTTAGAAAATTAAGATTGAGAGATTGGAGCTCCCATAAGGCTTGGGGTTTAGAAACCCCATTTTCCTTAATATATTTACAATTATCTATATATGTGAATTGCGATTTTTAAATGTCTTTTTTTTTTTTTAAATGTCTTCTTTTTTTCCTTTTTTATATTATATTTAAATTTAATATTTTGATAATAATCATATGTGTTGAACTTTTTAAAGAATTAAATGTCTTCTTTTTTTATTATATTATATTATATTAAAGTTTAATATTTTGATAGTAATCATATGTGTTGGACTTTTTAAGAAATTTTTTTTATGCTTGTTCTTAATGCATTAAAATGTTATTGTAATGGATAATAATCATATGTGTTGAGACTTTTTAAAGAATTCATATGTATTTGGTAGAAAATTTGGGACCTCTAGCATTTTTCTTTTTTTTAGGATAATGCTAGGGACACCAAATTTTCTATCAAGCAAATGACTAAATGTCTCACATGGATGTGGGGTCCGCAATTTTGTAGGTCCCACACCCATGTCAGACATTTGGTCATTTATTTGATAGAAAATTTGGGACCTCTAGCATTTTCTTTTTTTTTAGGATAATACTAGGGACACCAAATTTTCTACCAAACAAATGACCAAATGTCTCACATGGATGTGGGGTCCACAATTTTGTAGGCCCCACACCCATGTGAGACATTTGGTCATTTATTTGGTAGAAAATTTAGAACCTCTAGCATTTTCCTTTTTTTTTTTATGCTTGTGGTTAATACATTAAAGTGTTATTATGAGGGTAAGACTTGGGGGTTAGGAGAAGTTAATAAATGCTAAGATTTTTTTTTTTAAATAAAAAATCAAGAAATTTAGATTAAGAGATTGAAACTCTCACAAGACTTGGTTAGAAATCCCCTTTTACTCAATATATAGTATAGATTATTTTATTTTTTTTTTTCTATTTCTTTATTTTTCCTCCCAAGTGAGGCACAGTCGATAGAACTCACTACAGTCGCCCCCACGAGCTTCGTCATTCAAATTATCATGCTTCGTCTTCGCTCTTTCTCCTCCAAATTCAAACCCAGATCAATATCTTCTCATTCAACACACTACACTTGCTCAACAACCCATGACTTCTCAACTCATCTCTGCAATTCCACAACAAACCCACCCTTTTGTCATCCCCAAATCAATCCTCCAATCACTCCCAACCTATTCACTCCATCTGGGTTTCCTCCAAAACATCCCAATTCCATATACTCACTCCAATCCCCAAATGGGTACCCTTTTTTCCACAAATTTAACCTTCACACCAATCAAATCTCTTTAAACCATGTTTTCTTAGATGGGCATTCACTGAATTGGAAAAAAGTTGGAAAATTTAATGGTAATGGAATTGGGTTTTCGAGGGTTCGGAGTTTCTGTAGTGAATCGGACAGAGAGTCAATCAATTATGATGTTGTGATTGTTGGAGCTGGGCCTGCTGGGTTGTCTGCTGCAATACGATTGAAGCAATTGTGTCGCGAAAAGGATGTTGATTTATCGGTTTGTGTTGTTGAGAAAGGTGCTGAAGTGGGTATGCTTCTTTAATCCTCTATTGAGTTATGGTTTCATGGTTTGCTGTTCTAGAAATGGAGAGTGAAAACTGAAATTGGATATTGAAGAGTTTTGAATTGGGTTTGAGCTAGATTTCTATCCCTTGAACACTTGTTCAAAATAATCCCAATTTGGTTTCTTGATCGTTGCATTAATGAGCTTTAGTTTTCATAATTATGGTGGTAGTTTCATGTTATTTTATGAACTTGTCCATTCAGATGCTATGAAAACGTAAGAGATTCATTCAATTCCTGTGTTGGTCGAAGTTGGAACAAAACTTCTCTTTATATGCGGCCCTCCCCGGATAGTTTTGTTTGAACTATTTTTGTGGAATAGAAGAAACCATGCAACCCAACTAAGTTTATTGATGATTCTTAAGTTTACGCTGTAATATGATTCTTATTGTTTTATAAAGAATAAAAAAATAGGAAGAATCTTTTTGATTTTTAATTTTTCGAGCCCCTTAGTTGGTCAAGATTTATCTTTATCTTAGTTTCTTCATATGCTTTTTAAGATTAATATTTTAGTGGTGATGATTATTTCTTGGTGTTTCCAAGCTCTATAACTCTTACTACTCAATGCCTAAAGTAATAACCTTTACTTAATGTTATTATTTACTCCAATGTGATTATAGGTGCTCATATACTATCAGGGAATGTTTTTGAACCTCGGGCACTAGATGAACTTCTCCCACAATGGAAGCAGGAAGGGGTACTTCTTTATTGGCTTTCTATTTCCTTCTATGTTATTTGCATTGCTCCAGAATGTACTGAAGATGTGTTCAATCTAAGATCATTCACAATGCTCTAACTTGATTGTATGAAGATCACTTGTATTATGATGGTAAGAATGAAGTTGTCATCTCAACAGATCTCTGTAAACAGGCAACACAATAATTAACTTCAATGTGGGTCTTAGTAGGAAATTTTGAATTTGAAAGTTTCAAGAAAAAAGGTCATCACATATATTCATTTGATAAATTTATTAATAATGACATATCAGCTAAGGAAGGAACAATCATATAAATTGTCAAACTTTCTGTTGCTCCTCCAATATATGCGGTTGCTGCTCCAAAGATTTACAAACACAGCCAGTAATTATTCTCTTACCATGTCTTGAGTTAAGCTCTCTTAACATGTTGCAGGTTAGCTTTCTGCATGTTATATATTTGATATGTAAAGTGATATGCTAGTATTTTCCACTTTACAGAATCATTTATTTACCCTGGTTCATATATGTAAAGTGATATGCTAGTATTTTCTATTCTACATAATCATTTATTTACCCTGGTTCTAGAATAGTTCATGTGTGATGTACTGCTATGTTCCGTTCTAGTTTAAATAGGGTTTTTCTGATCTTTTGCAGGCACCTATAGATGTCCCTGTTTCTTCAGATAAGTTTTGGTTACTCACCAAGGACAGAGCAATTTCCCTTCCATGTCCTTTTGATAACAAAGGAAACTATGTTATAAGGTACACGTACCCTGTGCTCAAATCATTATGAAGCATGAATGGAGAAAATTAGGTTTGTGTCTTAACTTCCATTTGACCTGCCAAATTTTTTGTCTTAATTTTCTTTTGTTGCCAATTCATTGAGCATTTAGCTTCTGAAGTTTCACATTGGTGCCAACCTGTGACTTGATGATACCACCAGCTACTCGCTTGTGTGGTATCTCCTACCATTCTCAAAATGGAAAGTGCAGGATCGATCCTGGTTGGAGAAATTTTATTGCATGCCACAAATAGATCTGGGTCACCCATTTATGTGGGACCCAAAAATGGATTACGTAGATTTGTTTGTGGCATGGCCACGTCACTGCCACATTTGGCAGTCAATGATTGTTCTCGGTTGGGACATGGGTTGTGTGTTTCACTTAAAGAGGACGAGGAAGGGAAGGATGAAGAAGAATTTATGACTTGATGGATGTTGGAGTTACCTAAAAAAGTAAAAAATAAAAAACTTTGCCCAGCAGTTGGGGAGATTGGAGAAGATGTGGTCCATAGAATTAAGGTGGGTTGGCTTAAGTGGAAGAGTGTGTATGGGGCGTTTGGGGTATTGTGTGATAAACGAACACCCACTAAACTAAAAGGAAAGTTCTATAGAACGGCTATTAGACCAACGATATTGTACGGGATGAAATATTAGGCAACTAAAAAACGACATGTAGATAAGATGATTGTTACTGAGATGAGGATGTTAAGGTGAATGTGTGGCAAGACTAAAAAAGATAGTTAGGACTGAATATATTCGCAATTGGGTAGGAGTAGCAACGATAGAAGATAAGTTGAAAGAGAATAGATTGAGATGGTTTGGTCATATACAATGGAGACCAACAAAGGCAATAGTAAGGAGATGAAATACAGTTAAAGTAGATGGAAATGCTAGGGGAAGGGGTAGACCTAGATTGACGTGGGATAGTGTAATAAATAGAAATATGAACCTCCTTAATTTGACTAATCAAATAATCCTTGATAGAACCGAATGGAGAAGAAGGATTCATGTAGCCGACCCCATTTGATGGAACTTAAGGCTTTGTTTGGTTTGGTTTGGTTTTCTGTTTTCCTCTAGTTTTGTCTCATTTACACTTGCTATATTTGTCTTTTTATATCAGAAAGATACAGTAAATGTGCCACCGTATAGAAGGCTGATACTAGCATTTTTAAGTTACTGACATTGGTCATACATTTATGAGTACATGTTTTCTTTTGATGGCCCTTTTGCTTGTGAATTTGATGTTTTATAGTATTTGTCTCTCAGAAGGAAAATGTTTGACCCGCCTTGTTTCACAACCTTGACTTAGTTGCTTCTTTTGAGGTTTTGAGGTTGAGGCATTTAGATGATTTATTAGTATTAAGTGTTACATTCTACAACTTTTTTCTGTTTTTCACATTTTAATGGTGCTAATATTTTAGGGCATTTTACCAATATAGACCCTCTGATGCAGTTTGAGTCAATTAGCACGTTGGTTGGGAGAAAAAGCTGAAGAATTAGGAGTTGAAATATACCCAGGCTTTGCTGCTAGTGAGGTGCTTCTGCATTTGGTTGACACATTTTAATGTCTAGCATATTTGAACGTCATGAATTAACATGTTATTTGATTTTTCAGATTTTATATGATGATGAGAAAGTTATTGGTATTGCAACGAATGATATGGGAATTGCCAAAGATGGTTCAAGGAGGGACAATTTCCAATGTGGTGTAGAATTGAAAGGTAGGTCCTGTTAAGTTCTTTCTCTAGTTCTCATCCTTGCAATATATAAGGTCTCTCAGGTTGAGTGTGTATGCTGCATATGCATTTTTCGCTTCCTGAAGCATTAGTTGCTGATAGCTATTTCATCTTTCTGATCTTTCTCCAACTGTATCAGTCATTTTGTCATATAACATCATTGATGCTAACTTTGGTTTGCAGTGAGTGTAGTGGAGTAGAATGGCCTCCATTTCCACCTTTAAGTTGTCAAAGGCAAAGGCTGAAATGAGCATTTGAAAGTTGACACTAATCGTCATTTATTCCCTAATACATAACAATAGCCATTCTCCAGTCAAATGAAAGATCGACCTTTCTATTCACAATGGAATCAACCACAAAATACCTATGTAATATGGAATTAGGCCTCGTTTGGGAACAGGCTTTTTTAGTAACTTTTTGGCTTTTTAGCTAAAATGTGATGTAAAAAAAACTAGTATGTTTGGGATGACTTTTTGGCTTTTTACGAAAAGATGTGCAAAAAGTAGAGAGAAAAGGGAATCTTTGACTTTTTAGTATGGGTTGTTGGTTTTTTGTTTTTTTTAGTAACTTTTTAGCTTTTTTGCTAAAAGAGGCACTTGCCAAACGAGGCCTTAATTTGATCTGTACATAGTAATAAAAATAATATTTTTTTGATTATGTGCATATTTCCACCAACAGTAAGAAAATAAGAAATTTTTTAGAAAAGAACTTCATGTTTATGATTGGCTTTCATATAGAAAAGGTTTGCCAAGATTGACCTAGTTTGCAAGGTTTATTTATTAGTCCCTAGCCTACTGGTTCTGACTCTTAATAAATTTGTTGCTCTGCAGGACGCATAACACTTCTTGGTGAAGGATGCCGAGGGTCATTATCAGAGGTATAAAGAGATTGTCTCTTATGGCTGCAGTATTAGCTATGGTTTCTACAATTTTCTGTCCAATCCTATGTTCATTAACTAATAAGAACTTTATTTTGTTTTCTCATATGCAGAAAATAATGAAAAAGTACAATTTGAGGGCGAAGGTGCAGGGACAACATCAAACTTATGCTCTAGGAATTAAAGAGGTAAATTTCTCTTGTTCTTAGTAATTTTTTTTGCAATAGCAGTTGTATTTATTTTTTTATTTTCTTTGGGTTGGAGGTAGGGCAATGTAGGTTGGAAATTTGATACATTGACCTATACATTTTTGTTTTTGAAACTTGTCACCAATGGTGGGCCTTGGAGTAACAGTAAGGTTGCTCTATCGTGACATAAGCATGAGTGTTTTGAAACACGAGAACAACCTATCTACATGCGGGAATAAAGTCTTGTGTACTAAGCTATCCATTTTCCAATTAACTTTAATGCATCATATTATCAATTTGCACATAATTCATTGAGGATAAATCATTCATAGTCTTATCTTCTAATGCATATGTTTTAATTGTTATTAATTTTTCCTAGAAGCATGGTGAATCCATAAAAAGAGCCTTATGGCGTAGTTGAAGAACTAGATGTTTTATATCTAATGGTTGTTCCTCCGTGATCCTTCACTTTCGCCAGTAGTTTCGCTTTCACAAAATCTCATTTGACCAAATAATTTAAGAGAGAATCTTTTGGAGGCATGTAGAATTAGAGTACTAGCTAGTAAATACATCCCCAAGATTTTTCTAGCTTGTGCTTAATTCTTGAAGCGAAATTTTATCAGGTTTGGGAAATTGATTCAAGTAAGCATGAACCTGGTCATGTACTTCACACCTTGGGTTGGCCATTGGATAACAAGACATATGGGGGATCTTTTCTATATCATACGAAAGACAGACAGGTATCATTTGCCCTTGCTTTATAGCTCTATATTAATTAAGGATACAATTTAGTGTATTAATTTTACTAATTACCTTAGCTTCTTGTGTTACATTATATGGTGTACAAAGGTATGTAATTGTATAAGTGGAGGATATACTAATAAAATGAAATGCTAAATCTACTCAGAAGTCGTTTATAAAAATATGGCTAACAATGCTAGAAATTTTGTCCTTTTAAATGCATTAGTCGTTATGTGATAAACGTTTTCAAAAGGAGAGAAAAAAGAGGTGGACGTCGATTTATAGTTCAGAAAGTGGCTGGAGCAACCTTGTTGACTTCATAAGTTCTGATGCTTTAAAATTGGAATTTACATTTAGTTATTAATTTTTTCCATTAGCATGCTCCACAATGAAACCCTAATTTGGGCACCTAAATGAGATGTTTCCTCGGTTGGATATACAGGTTTCTCTTGGCCTTGTTGTTGCTTTGAATTACCACAACCCTTTCTTGAATCCTTATGAGGAATTCCAGGTATTTTTTATTGTTATTTTTGCAATGTTTATTTATATATTATATATGGACCTACCTTCACATAAGTCAAGATTGCACATTTTCTTTTTCATATGTGAGTCTCTCTCTCTCTCCTTTTTTATAAAATGAAAATCTGTTACTGTTTATAATATAAAATGTTACCAAAAGTCTATAAACAGTTTTCTTTCTCTGTATATTCTTCTCATACATTGATGTAGGAGACAGCAGGAACTTGGAATGTTGCCGCTTGCAGTTAGCTTAATGGGGGTGGGAGTCACATTATGCTTGTTGGTTAGGATTTAATGAACTGGAAGAAAGGTTGTAGGGTTTTCCATTTGTAAAGAGTTAGAACTTAGTTGAACTTAGTTTTTAAAGTGAAAAGGCTGTTGGATTTTCAGTGAATAGTTTGTCAGTAGTTATTGACAGCAAGTATTTTAAGGTTTCAGTGCTCAATTCAATGCCAAAAAGTAGTGGAAAGAGTTAGTGTTGATTTTGGATTGACAGGATAAATGAGGGACTGAATAGGCATTACCTGTGAACAGTAAAATCTGACTAGTGTCTAAAGAAGAATAAAAGTGAAAGAAGCAAGAGAAGAAGAACCTGGGAATTCCTTGGGAATCACCTTTTATGGTTAGATTGCGTCAAGCATCAGACAAATCTAGAAAAGGTTTCCCTCCATAGGGATGATGATCTGCTGAGTTTAGTCAACAAATAGGATGATTGGATCAATTGTAACCATCATATTTGTCTCATATTAATTGTATGGTTAGAAGTATATGGCAAACAAACTAGAATGACAATATTGTGAGTGGGTTTGGTAGGTGATGTTTATTGTTCAACCCATAACAAAATGTGCAAAACCCAGCTCATTTTAAAATATATAAAAAAAGAAAAAGAAAAGAGTCAACTGAAGCTAATGCAATAGGCTGTCCTGCTTTCAAAGAATATATGAACTTTTTTTTTCTCATAGCTATTGACTTGTATTGGTTCCAAGTCTTTCAATGTTTGTTTGAGCGATTCTTTTATCACCTAAGTTTACTTTCTTGGAGAATCCCTTAACTGCTTTTTATTATTTTGAAGTCTGTAATCCTATCAGCATTTTTTTCCTTGGATAGAGTGTATCTCTTTACCTTTTAGGTATTTATCTACAAAGTGCAAGCATAAGGTCTTACTCGGTCTCTTGTGTATTAATTCCTTTGTGTAGAAACTTAAACAACATCCGGCCATCAAACCTCTTCTTGAAGGTGCTACTGTCCTCCAATATGGTGCCCGTACATTGAATGAAGGCGGGTTTCAGGTGCGTGATATGTTATTTTATTTGTCCAGTGACCAATAGGAAAATTCACATTAAGATAGTAGTGGTATCAAAGGCTTCTTGAATCCACCACATGCATGCCTGATGTAGTATTGTAAATCAGTGCTAAAAGGCAGATGCTAAGTGCCTGAAAATAATTTTCATTTGCAAAATTATTGGTGGCTGTTTACACGAAAGATTTGCACATATTGTGTGCCAGAATCATAAGAGCTAAAATTATAATATTTATAGCCGATTAGACTGCAAATGCAGAGTGGCAACTCGTTTTTCCCGTTTTATATCTACAGCTCAAAAGGCATGGTACCTTATTAACAATATTACTAATTGTTTGTTAGATGTTATGCAAATATAAATATGATGCTAGTTAAATTTCAGTCTATTCCATATCCAGTATTCCCGGGTGGAGCAATTATTGGATGCTCAGCTGGCTTCTTAAATGTACGAAAAATAAAGGGCACACATACTGCCATGAAATCAGGTATAACTCACATTATCTCAAGCAGTGCTTCATCTTTAATGTGAAAACCATACGATATGTCTAGTTGGTATCTAGTTGATATAAAACAATGTTACTTTATGATTGTTTGGTGTTGTAAATTGCTAAATTCTAGGATAAAGTCATTCAAGATTTAGTTACTATGAGATTAAGTATGCCAGATGATTTTTTGTTGCAGCAGTAAATTGTTATATATCTGAGGTAAATTGCCCCCAAAAAAAAGAAAAAAAGTTTGACCCTTGTAACAAATTAAACCTTTTATTTTTCAAAAAAAATTCTTAAACCCTAAACTTCTCGGTACTGTGCCATCTGTCCATCTTCGTAACAGAGAAGGATAATTTTGTCAATTTACCCCTCTTTCTTGGATAATTTTGTTAACATACCTCTTCTTCCACTGTCTTCCTCCCTCCTAGAAGCCACCTCCACCACCAGTGGCAACCCCTCTACAACTCACCCATCCTCTTGTTGAAAAAAATGCGTACACATATACCTACACTGATACATACTCCATAACCAAATAACTTATATCCCAGATGGGTGTGAGAGGAACAGAGAGCATCACCCTCCCCTGACTGCCCTTCCCCACCCTCCCCTGCCACACCCAACTCCTCCACAGTCCACCTCTGCTACATGCAACCCACCAAATAAGCTATTAGAAAAAATGAAATAACATATAGAATGGTTGGAATTTGTGATCAAGCTATTAGAAAATAAAGGAGTACTTCTAAAGCTTATTTTCTTACAGGAATGCTAGCAGCAGAAGCTGCATTTAGTGTACTTCATGAAGGCTTAAATATGGAAACATACTGGAACAACTTAAAAAATTCATGGATATGGGAAGAACTTTACAGAGCTCGGAACTATCGACCAGTACGTATTGAAATTTATCCTTTCTAACTTTCTAAATGATCTTTCCTCTGATTCCCATTTCATATTTTGATCCCCTTCACTCTTTGGTTTTCTCAGAGGTGCTAATTGATGGTCCATTTCAACAATTTATTGTCTAAATAAACCACCTCTTGAATGAATTATATTTTTACGATATCCAAATCTATTCTCTTATTCTGGATGATCAAGAAAATATTTACATGTACTGGAATTATGTTTCTGGGGGTAATTACTAAAAAAAATAGTTTAAAAAAAATGGGGAGGTGGCTGGATTTGTCAGATGTGGGTCAATACGTAGTTCTGTAGTTGAGAAGATTATGATGTATTTATAGCTAATGTTGCAGTTTTTTTATTCCCCTTGTAGGCTTTCGAGCGAGGACTTTTTCCTGGTTTAGCTTTAAGTGCCTTAGAACAGTAAGACATCACCTTCTGCCAGATTAAGTTGCATATCACTCCAATTATATGAAATTTCAATTTCTTTTGTTATATGGAACATGGTTTAACTGGTACTTTCTTTGTCGTAGCTACATATTGAAGGGAAGATTCCCCTTGACACTGAAGCATGGCAAACCTGATCATAAAGCAACAGATGTGAGAAGCTACTACTCTTGTATTTAATTAATAATTAAAAAATATTTAAAATGTCACATATTAGAACTTAATTTTCATAGAATGCATGACCCCCAACACTCATGCGAGGGATTTGGTGCAGCTTATGAAGTTGCTTCTAGTTTCTTTTTCTTTTTTTTTAAATTTGTGCCGGAGTAATTGGTATAGTTTCGACTTACAGCTTATGAGGCAGAAATAGCTTATATAAGTTGAAAAAAGCCTAGTTATTGAGATGCAAGGAAGGGGTGCCTTTAGTTTCTATTTTCTGATTAGCAACTTCTAGCTTACAAGAAGTTGAACCAAACAGGCCCACTGCCCTCTTTTGCGTGGCTCTCAAATTCCTACATATTTATATAATGACTAACAAATTCGTCAACATCTCACTTGCCATATCCATAATTCAAAGATGTAACCACTGATCAAATCTCTTGGGATGGATCAGTAGGCAATAATGAGATATATTTAAAGTGCTTGTAATCTGTGCCATCGAAAACCAAGACAGATTAGAACTGTTTCTCTTTAGCATGTAGCAAATAGCAATAGCTATAGACGATTTATTTGCTTACGAACCATCTGTTCATTAATGAATTCTTGCTTTTGCAGGAGGCACGCTTACACTCCCCAATTCAATACCCAAAACCAGATGGGGTTGTGTCTTTTGATGTGCCTACTTCTCTATACAGGTTTATACTCGCACCCTTTTTTTTCATTCTCTTACTTTTTCTCTCTCCTATTTAAATAAAAATTCAAGTTTTGAATGTCAATGCTTTATGGTGGCAATTGGACCTTGAGAAGTAAAATTGCCTTACTAGGTCAAGTTATAAAACTGTTTCATCACAGGATATGAAGCTGAATGATGATTCTTAGTAGAAAATATTGGCATTGATGGAATGATGTGGTGAAACAAGATTGATGTATTAGTTGAGGCCTTGATTTTGACAAATAAATTTGTCACCCGTAAATCCATTCTTGGATAGCCATTTGACAATGTAATGAGAAATATTTTCTTCCTTCCTTCCTTCCTTGCTATGATATATTTGTTTCTTTATTTGCTTATTAGGAGCAACACAAATCACGAACATGACCAGCCAGCACATCTTCAACTTAGAGACTCCAACATTCCTGAACTTGTAAACCTGCCGAAGTATGCTGGACCCGAGTCGCGATATTGCCCTGCACGTGTATACGAGTAATATGCTTCTTCAGTTATTATTCAAGAGTGGTTTCTGTAAGTCTTTTACATCTGATTCTTCTTCTTTTTGCTTGGACTGTAATCTAGGTATGTTGCAGACGACAAGGGTCAGCTGAAGCTGCAGATTAATGCCCAAAATTGCCTGCACTGCAAGGTAACATTAATATCTATGTGGAAGAAATGAATAACTGTGGCTCTAACTATCTGTTTGTTTTAGCAGAAAGTATTTTTTGAAAAACATTTTCCATGTTTTCTTGTTTCTCTCCGTGGTGCGGTACACATGCCAGAAATTGTGTTTCTGGAGTTTTTAACTATATTTACTCTAATTTTTTCAGGCTTGCGATATCAAAGACCCAAAGCAGAATATTGAATGGACTGTGCCGGAAGGTGGTGGCGGCCCAGGCTACTCCATCATGTAGACCGTTTGCTTGGATTAACTGCGCGCAAAATAAAAATGTATCCCAATGTATACAATTACAAATAAAAATCAATCTAATTGGAAAAAAAATTAACCTGTGCTGAGGTTTTTCTGCAGAACTCCATATCCTGTAGTTAATATAAATTGTAATTCCTTCTTGTTCCCGTTTAGATCATTTGATTGAGTAGTCGTTGCATTGTGAATTCATGTCAAGAGATTCCTCCACGAAATGCACACAAACCTTTATTATCTGGAGTTCATGTTACCAGATTATGAACTACTCACAACCCGAGCTGCCCAGAATGGAAAGCAGGACTACTCGGATCAAATACAAATCAAAATCCAAATATAACTTCAGAGCTTTTACACTAGGACAAAATTGTGAAATGGGAATGGTGAATGGACGAGGTTTTTTTTTTTTTTTTTTTTTCAAAAAACGTAATTTTTTACAAACTAGCATAGTATAATCTTAAAAGTTTGCCAGATGCCCTCACAAAATTTTCAAGAGTTGTGAAATAAGTGTGCCACGTCATTCCACTGTTTTGGCAAATAAAGAGAACATCCCAAAATTGCCCCTAAGCAAGATGTCGAGGCTTTGGCTTTCTCGCAGATTCTAGATATCTTTAGTTCAATGCATAAAATTGTAACACATTAAAATCTAAAACCAAGAGTCTACAAATGGCCAAATCAATTTAAGTTGAAGATCTTACTGTTTTGGGTTTTAAATAAAGATTTGGTGATGCAAGTCTTTTTACAATCAATTAATCATCTATTTTCATGAAAGAGCATCCTATTCCTCATGTGGAGAGACCAGATGCTAAGGGTCAACATTCTTCCTATAAGCAGAACATATTAAAGGGCTCTTCTAATGAATTGCATTCTAAAAACAGTTCTTGCAAAAGCAATTTCAAATACTAACAGTATGAGTAATCATACACAAGCACTTTCAACATTCCAAAAACACAACCAACAGGGGAGAGAGAGAGAGAGAGAGCATTTTGAAAATTTTAAATACAAGACTACCACCAGATATATTCGCCAAAACATGTGCTACATGACTAAAATAAATGAATGAAATCACCCCCACAATTCAACCACGAACTAAATCCAACATAATACTCCTACAAATAGATCAACCACCACATCTCAAATCCTGAACTTAAATCCAAATATAAACTGCCTACAAAATAGTTACACAGACACATCTAATCACACTAGAAACAACAGACAGAAAACGGACATATCTGACACCATAATCGTAACACCAAAGATTTGGACACTAACTGACCCTTCAAGCTCCACAGATCCACCCATTTCCACATCCGCCCATTTCTATTCCGCAATTAATCCTTTGATGAAGGGTTGACATCTGAACCGTTCTCTTTCTGGCTTGGAGAATGCATTGAAGCACGCAATTGTTGTGAGTGCTGCTCCTGCTGCTGTTGCTGCTGCTGAAGTTGTTGCTGCTGAAACTGGTGTAGTTGATGCTGTGAAAACTGGTGCTGCTGCTGCTGCTGCAGCTGCTGCTTCTGGGGATGAATTTGGAGTTGCTGAAACTGCTGGGCAGTCAAGAGAGTGTGCATAGCATGATTGTTGGGATAAAATTGTTGGTTGGCTCCAAACGACGGAGGAAAGTTCATCATTGGTCCACCGTTTGGAATAGTTTGGCCAGTCAGTACTTTCAAATGCTGAATCTCCTCTTTCAGTGCATCATTTAATGCTACATACAAGAAAAATGGAAGCAAAATAGTGTTATCATTAATATATTGATGCCAAAAAGGGGGAATGTTCAGCGCATATGTGCTAAATAGTATGCAAAATCCATTAACTTGTTTCACAAAACTTGGCATCAAAAAATCCTTCTTTCCTAGTCTAATCAATCAAATTTAATTTGGCTCTCAACAATTAATCCCAACATAGGCACAATTATTGGTCTCAGAGATGCAAAAATAGTACTAGTACTACAAGATGGACTCTGGAAAAAACTTCTGATTTCCAGTTATAAACAATTAAATCCAATGCTTCCTTCTAAGTTTTCTATGTCTACAATTGCCACTATTTATTCGTGATAAGAGTATTGCTTACATGACAAGGAAAACTTAATAGAACTGGGGTTGAACTCCATATTTTGCAAGCCTACCATCCTCTTAGTTTGTTTTTGTTTGTATTTTTATTTTTTTGTTTATATGTTTCAACTGAAATATTCGGTCTTACTTCAGAAAATGTTGTAAAAGGGGTTCCATGTTCTAGAACATTGTGAGGCATCTTGCTTTAGGGATTGCTGTCAACCCAATGGTTGTGCTTATCCCCTCATAGTCATGCAAGTATTGAACTTCCAACTGTCACAAATCACTAACAGATCAGTAATCATCCAGCAATACCTCAAACTTAGGTATAATAAAATTAAATGTGACATAATAGCTCAAACTGATGTACAATATCAAAAGACCAAATTCCCTCAAATGCATTACATGAAAAAAGAAAAACGATCCCGATCAGACCACCATGGTACAAAAAGTTTTTACTACAGAAATCAAGCAATGATTGCTTACCTTGCCAGACCTTTGATCAGGAATCTTGAAGCTAAAGATCGTCTTCAATCCAGGAGCAGGCTCATCAACAGTAATAGTAGTACAAAGCTAGTACATAAGCAAAAGATCAGTTAGATGATCAAATCAAACCATTATCTGGAGAGTGAGAGAAACTGAATGTGGTTCTCAGAAAGGTTTGATACCTTACACTCCTTTAAGGAGGAAGCTAGACCACTTGGCCTAAAGACCAATCTGTTGGTATTTTTTTTTTTATGTAATACGTTTCAATTGTTGCATACACAACAGAATACTGAATTACCAGCACTGAATGTTCACCGAGATCTTCTTCTGTGATTCTTGTTTGATTGGCCATGTTTTATTTGTTGGTACAGAGCACAAATATGAGATCAACAGATGCTGACCAACATGAAACTTTCACGCACTTGAAATCCGCAAAGACAAGTCAAAGTACTTGGGAGAAAGACGATTGAGAAGCAATATGTGAGGCAGAACCATTTCAGTCTACCAATGCACATTAAATCACTGAGAGCTGACAACAGATCCAGATACACAGACTGTTTGGTTACTGGAATCAATTACATCCCACCTTTGTGCTGCCATGAAAGAAATAGAACCACGCAAGGAACCATGCAGCACATCATTGTGACACCAATAGTCTTTCATAAATGCCATTATTTTGTAGCAGGTTCATTCAAAGTAACACACCGAGTTGGGCGGAAATCTACAAAAGGGAAGCCCTTGGACTTATTAATAACATGATTGCTAAAAGAATAGTCACATGGGCAACCAGTATTGAATTCTTGTCAGTTATGAATAAACTAAAAACAGGCATTGGAGTTCCATATCAATGAAGTATGTATCTCTTCATATAGCATTTTTGTTGTGCAATTTGAGCTATGATTGCAATCAAGAAACAAAACTTCTTTTTGTTTCCATCACAAAGTTCGATGTTTCTATCTCCTAGGAGACCGAAATTACATTTTTCTATTCCATTTGATCTCTTGGATCTTAGATACAAATAACATTTGTCTCCCAAAGGAAATAAAATTTGTAGGAATTATTCTTTCATGGGAAGAAAAAAACAAAAAGCCTCTAGCTAACACAATTTCAATTGCATTTTCAAAATCCAAAATGAATCAGAGCCATCAACTAGTTGACCAAAACAAAAAGACAAATTAGTGCACACATTGATATCAATGAAGCTAAAAGGCTAAATTACCCAAATGCTAAAAGAGAAAATGCCAAGACAAGACAAGACAAGAATGAGAATAAATAAAAGAGAGAAATAATTTTTTCATGCAATGAGGGTGTATCAGGAGCTATCCTCAGTAGGGAATTTTTTTTTTCTTCCATTAATTGAAATTAGGGAATATTTTATTAAACTGAAGCTATTCTTGGTACCATTTGAATTGTTTCTTGTATGAAAAAGAAAAACAAAACAGAGCTGCAAAACAACATGTCATATCTCAAGACCCATATACAGCAACAGTAGTAGTAGAGCATCAATAAGACCATGGTAGCAGCAGCAAGTCTATAGTAGGAACATCAAAAGATCACCAGCAACATTAGAATAGCATCAACAGAGCTGTCATCTACTTCATTTAGGCAAAAATATACATCATCTGGTTTCCCGGTTATCAAAACAGAGCCAAAACAGTAGTAGTAAAATTGTAGTAACAACAACAATGAAACCAAAATAGTAACATTCATCATAACATCAATATCAACAAAACCAAAATCTTGCAAATTGAAAATCATCGAGACTTCCGTTACATTGTAGCCAGAGGTACAAACAACTAGTCTATATGTTATCTGACTCATATATGATCAAATTAAATTTGGAATGTGCAAAATTCCTTTTATAGAAGTTAGGATAACCAAAAAGCTATATCAAACACTATTAGTAAATGCCAACAAATAATTAAATTGGATTGTTTCATACAATGTAAACACCATAATTAAATTAGAAAAATACCTGATTTGACATAGCAACACAAGAACCCAAACTACACCTAGTGGAGCCACCAAAAGCTTGCATGAACTAGTTATCTAGTGAAAAAGCCTAAGGTCAAAAAGCTAAGTGACAGAAAAAAAACTAATAACGCCTATGATGCAATAATCTATTCAATTTGCTTCTAATTCCTTGAGGGAGAAGAAAAAAAGAAAAGGAAAGAGAGCATATATATAACCTTATATACCCTATAGTTGGGTCAAATATTGTTGTGTCAAATATTGCACTAAATTCAATAACTGCCAAACATATTTCAAATCAAGGATAATGAGCATTCTGACACCTCCGGGTGGATTTGCTTGCCAGTGGCCATCTATCGATTACTAGTACATGGATAATTATAGACATGTTGTATGTACAATATCTCATTAGCTGTTTGGTGACTTCTCTTGTATTAAATGCCTCTATTCTTGGATTAAGTTGGGTGTTGCAGAGATCAGCAGATAATTTCGAAAGGATAGTAGTTGAAGGTCTGTAATCGTCCCTTTTCACAAGCTTCAGAAGCAATACTTTTTTTCTTTTCTAATGCACCTGAGGAGAAGAATCTAAATACTTTGAAGACAACAAGATCTGTACAGTCTTAAAATTGCATTTTCCATATATCGTCTCTCTTAGATCTAAGTCAAAGCAGAACAAGATAAATTCTCTGTGATTTTGAATCAATTTGGTAATGGTATGGGTGGAACCATGAAGCGAGAGGCATGCCTAGCTTGATCTCTAGCCAATCCAGTGTTGTTTCTTTCTAATCAATACATTTTCCACCATAAATTATCAAATGATCAAGTTCTCATTTTGGACAACACAAACTTCATCTAAATAACAATGGTCACCTGCTTAGATTCTTAAAGTAGCTAATTTTGATCCCCTTCCGTTGTGGTTGGTGTGAAGACTAAAGAAAAGGTATGCTGAAGAGAAAAACCATTTTCCACTGCACAGATCTAACATACAGGGGCATGCTGGGTACAGAGTGTCAGGACCTTCAAGTCATATGTATTCAAGATATACAAAATTCAAAAGCAACAGACTTCTAGGACAAAGTAGGCATGCTCAAAGAAGATCAACAAGCTTCCACATAATATGGCCCCCAAAATGATATCTTAGAATCTACTAAATGGGATTGGGGAAAAATAATGATTCATATTGGTAGCAAAAGAAATATGTAAACATATTTAATGTCAACAAATGAGCTCATATATGCTTGATCTAAAACATTTGAATATTTTCTAGTCTTCCAAAACACAAAATGGTAATGCTTATAAATAGTTAATAAAATACCTCTTTAAATCTCCCATATTGAATTTCAACAAAAGATAGCTATGTACTAAGATAAGGGGAGGAGGAAAATGACATATTACCATCCATTGCAAAGCAAGCTTGCCCAGAGATGTGGGCAGCAGCTAGAGTGATCATCACAGCAGGTAGCAGACACGAGGGGGCAGCATCCCCAACCAAAGGAGTAGCTACCGTATTGATAGACACAACAGCGTGTGGTTCCTGCAGGGCAATTGTAATAATCATCGCAGACTGTGGGGGGTTTTACTGGGGTAGGAGGAGATGGACCGGGATTAGGAGGGTTGAAACCGGTCTTGATGGGGTATGAGGCCATTTGAGCAATCCCACACTTGCCACCAATGGAATTGATGTTGCGCTCCAACCTTATGTACCCGTTTTCTCCCCAGTTTGAACCCCAAGAGTTCCTCACAACCCAGTAATCTACACCATCTTCTGTACCATATCCAACAGCAACAACACCGTGGTCAAGGTTTGTCCCACAGTGTCCAGTAAATACACCCTGAAAAGAATTAAAAGGGAAAAATCAAGTTGTGTTTGAAAGACAGACCGATATCGACGGAGATCGACAGAGAGAGAGAGAGACCCAGTAATCTACACCATCTTCTGTACCGTATCCAACAGCAACAACACCGTGGTCAAGGTTTGTCCCACAGTGTCCAGTAAATACACCCTGAAAAGAATTAAAAGGGAAAAATCAAGTTGTGTTTGAAAGACAGACCGACATCGACGGAGATCGTTTGGGAGGGCGATCGACAGAGAGAGACAGACCGAGATCGACGGAGATCGACAGAGAGAGAGAGACGGAGATCGACAGAGAAGAGACGACAGATCGACAGATCGACAGACCAAGATCAAGATCGACAGAGCCGGAGACCAAGATCGACAGAATTTCTGAAAATTACACCTTCACTGCAATAATTTTTTTATACAATTTACACTTTTAGTGGACCTTACAATGAAAACAAAACATAAACTTATATTTATTGTGAAAATACTTACAAAACTTATTATTTTTGTATAAAATTTTTTGACATAATATTTATATATTTTTTTTGAACTTATACTTTTTGTGAAAGCTCAACTTAAAGTTTTTTCGGAAGTCACTTATACATTTTGTGAAAAAATAAATTCATTAAATTTACACATTTTACTTAAGCTTACACCTTTTCGTGAAAATACTTACACAATTGGATAATTATAGACACGTTGTATGTACAATATTTCATTAGCTGTTTGGTGACTTCTCTTGTATTAAATGCCTCTATTCTTGGATTAAGTTGGGTGTTGCAGAGATCAGCAGATAATTTCGAAAGGATAGTAGTTGAAGGTCTGTAATCGTCCCTTTTCACAAGCTTCAGAAGCAATACTTTTTTTCTTTTCTAATGCACCTGAGGAGAAGAATCTAAAAACTTTGAAGACAACAAGATCTGTATAGTCTTAAAATTGCATTTTCCAGATATCGTCTCTCTTAGATCTAAGTCAAAGCAGAACAAGATAATTTGTCTGTGATTTTGAATCAATTTGGTAATGGTATGGGTGGAACCATGAAGCGAGAGGCATGCCTAGCTTGATCTCTAGCCAATCCAGTGTTGTTTCTTTCTAATCAATACATTTTCCACCATAAATTATCAAATGATGAAGTTCTCATTTTGGACAACACAAACTTCATCTAAATAACAATGGTCTCCTGCTTAGATTCTTAAAGTAGCTAATTTTGATGCCCTTCCTTTGTGGTTGGTGTGAAGACTAAAGAAAAGGTATGCTGAAGAGAAAAACCATTTTCCACTGCACAGATCTAACATACAGGGGCATGCTGGGTACAGAGTGTCAGGACCTTCAAGTCGTATGTATTCAAGATATACAAAATTCAAAAGCAACAGACTTCTAGGACAAAGTAGGCATGCTCAAAGAAGATCAACAAGCTTCCACATAATATGGCCCCCAAAATGATATCTTAGAATCTACAAAATGGGATTGAGAAAAAAATAAATTTGGCAGATTGAGATACTTGGCACAGCTCACAAGCCAAATTGTTTTTCGTTATATCTAAAACAATGAAGGTAAATAAATAAATAAATAAATAAAGCTAAATTACCATTAGGCAAGTCCCGCCATCAATGTCATAGACAGGGTACTCGTGTGGGCAGCAGCTAGAGTGATCATCACAGCAGGTAGCAGACACGAGGGGGCAGCATCCCCAACCAAAGCAGTAGCTACCGTATTACAACATGTGGTTCCTGCAGGGCAATTGTAATAATCATCGCAGACTGTGGGGGGTTTTACTGGGGTAGGAGGAGATGGACCGGGATTAGGAGGGTTGGAACTGGTCTTGATGGGGTATGAGGCCATTTGAGCAATCCCACACTTGCCACCAATGGAATTGATGTTGCGCTCCAACCTTATGTACCCGTTTTCTCCCCAGTTTGAACCCCAAGAGTTCCTCACAACCCAGTAATCTACACCACCTTCTGTACCATATCCAACAGCAACAACACCGTGGTCAAGGTTTGTCCCACAGTGTCCAGTAAATACACCCTGAAAAGAATTAAAAGGGAAAAATCAAGTTGTGTTTGAAAGACAGACCGAGATCGACGGAGATCGTTTGGGAGGGCGATCGACAGAGAGAGACAGACCGAGATCGACAGAGAGAGAGAGAGAGACGGAGACCGACAGAGAAGAGACGACAGATCGACAGATCGACAGACCAAGATGGCTGCGTCGAATTCGTAGGTAAGACAGAGTTTGGTTTGTTATTTTTCATTTTTTTGTGTTTAATTTCATCTTTATTTTCATATTTTACAATTTCACCCCATTTTAAGTTTTTAAAATTATTTTTTTGCCCCCGCCGTATCCATACCGTATCCTCCCGTATCCGAAATTCAAAAATTAAAAAAAAATACGGATACTCCATTTCCCGTATCTGATACGTATCCTCGCGTATCGGGCGCGTATCCGTATCCAATACGTATCCGATACGCATACGTGACCTATTTCGGAGTATCCGTGCTTCATAGAAAACCACAAAGGAGGAAACATGACAAAGGATTTACAACTGAGTATAGAGCAAATTTTATTTGAATTCTGAACACAAGCTTCGCAGAGGGCTGGTCGACCCTCAAGCCCCAATAAAACTTGCATAGAACTCCAGAGCTTTCACCCATTACAAAACTACCATTATAGACTAAGAAGCACGAACACATATAAGGTGTCATGTTTGTGTCGAACACCGACAACACGTGTCGCGCACACGTCCAATAATGTCATTTTTTTTAAACCCGAACACAGTTAAGACACTTGACAAACACATTACAAGTATAAAGAAAATAACTTGAAAACAAAAATGTAGATTTATACCTACTAATTCTTCCTCTTTTAGAGTTTAGGAATTAATGTGATATTTTTTTATCATCATTAGATGAAATATTCATATATATATAAACATAAATTAAATATAAAAAAAACTCCATATTTAGTGCGTGTCACCCATTTGTCATGTCAAGCATTTGTTTCTTAAATTGTCATGTTAGCATGCCCAAGTTGTGTAGTGTGTCCATGTCTGTGCTTCTTAGATTGTAGCTAAGTCACACAAGGAAAACTGCACTCTTTATTACATCCATTGAGGAAGACATACAAGAGAATACTAGAAATGATTTTATTTGAATACTGAAAATAAGATTCTAGGACAGGTGACTGAACCTCTAGCCCAAATACAGTATATATAACACTCCACAGCTCTCACTCCTGTTCTCTGACAAGACCTATGTTACATGGACTCTTTCACTTCTACTATACCGTGTCCACCAGACATTACAAGCATAAGGATTGGGGATATGTGTCCAACACCATAGTACCAATTCCACTACTTGGATCAACTAATTTTGTATGATGTTTGAAGAATATACTTACATTTGCTAGTAAAAAAACATTTCTAACTTCTCACACAAACGAGAGACATGAATTCCATATTTTTCCTAAATCTCATTTAATTTAAAATACATTTCTAAATAAATTGGGTTTAAAAATATTAAACAATATGATTTATCAAAAAAAAATATATATATATATTAAACAATATGCAATATATACGTGTTTAAGACGTGTCTCTGTATCCATACCTACCGTTTAAATGCATATCCTAATATCCTACGATTAAGTTTAAGAAGATCTGACGCTTGGACACAATAAGTCCATGTAACATAGCACAAGAGCCAAGACTACTAATTGAACTCTTCATTACACAAGGACAAAGTCAACTATTCACAATTGTCTCCATTCCCATAGGTCTTCCAAGTCTTCTACATATTTATTTTCAATGAAAATTTTATTACCTACATAACCCTGCACCAACAGAAAAGCACCTATTGATGTCTCTAATTGGGGTATAGTATAAGGGTATTGTTGAATTAATTACGTTACGTCTCCTATTGTTAGATAATATACAAGGCCAACATGTCCATTTTATGCAAAATCTACAGGTTCTTGACAAAGCATATATTATCAAACTATGGCTGAATGGCCATGATATTTTACATTTTTTTTTGGCAAGTCTGAACGACCATGATACTGCCTCTTCATAAAAACTACAATTTAGGATAAAAGCAAATATATGAAAGAAAAGTAATTACAAGAACAGCAACTCCTAGCAGGAGTTTAGGAAAAATACTCTTACCATCTTGCAAGTGAACCTGTTGCTCCATTGTTTGCAAACGCAGCTTAAGTTCACTATTTTCTGCAGTCAGGCCATTTGTATCTCTCTGTTCATAGCAAACCCACAAGAAAATAGTGATATCCATACCATAATCCATAATAATGTTATATACTAGAATTTTTCAAATAGACTCTCTAAAGAAATTGGAAAAAAAAAAAAAAAAAAAAAATTTTTTTTTTTTTTTTTTTTGTAAGCAACAGAGAGAATTGTATTAAAGAATGTGCTGAGGGAACACACTCCTATACAAACAACCAAAGGAAAATAAGAGAAGAAATACAAAAGACATACCCAACACCCTACTGCAAACCAATAAGACAAAAACAAGTCCCACCAACTACAATGCTTCAATATAGTGCCAACTCCACAAAAGGTTCTTTGTTGGCTTACAACATTGATTCCATTTGGTACCACCACCTTTACCAATCAGCAAATGAGAACTGATATCCAGATGCTCTCTTGGAATTTTCTCTAAAAATGTCCATAAAGACAAATATAAATAAATAAAAGCACTAACAGGCTTCTTCCCTAATATACTATCCTCAACTAAACAATCATCTTTGGACTTTACGATTCTATGGCCCACTATATGGGCTCTCATCTTGTTATCATCATAATTCACTGATCATTGAATCCTCAAAGTTCTCTTTCTTTCCTAGAGGACACTTTACCCCTTCCCTCTTTCTTCAAAACCTTCTTAACCTTCTCCCTCACAGGTTTAATTTCCTTGGCAACAGTGACCATTACACTAGTCGATACCGCAATTTAAAACCATGATTCTGATACCTCACTGGGGCCTTCACATTTTGCCCAATGGTCTTCAGATCCCTTCCTTCCACCCCCATACAGGATGAAATCCAGAAGCATCTCTGCCACACCTATGCACCCATCACCATACTTAAAGACTATGGAAGGCAAACCCTGCTCTCTCCTCAGACTCTAGAAGGCAAATCCCACTCTCTCCTCTGCCTCTGGGAAGCCCTAATCTCCACAAATCTCTCCCCTTTGTTTTGGCGACTCCAACAATCCAGCTTCCTACAACCACTGTCAAACTCCTCAAGAAACCCAATCTTCTCTGCCCCTGACAAGCCACATCCAATTTTTGCCAAGCCAACTAATCTTGAACCCCAACAGAATTAGTGATCTCAGAAAACCCTCCCCCCTTTCTGCCACCACCACCACCCTACTCCCATCATTCCTATCTCTGACTGAAACAAACAATTTCAACCCTAGCTACAAAATCCTCCTCGTGGTTAGAAACTCAAATTTGTTTTGCAATCCAACAAGAAAATAAAGCTAGATCATGTACTCAACAAAATGACTTGCTATAAGTCATACAACCTGTCACTAGGACCAAACATTTAGACATATTATGTGGCATGGCAGAATCTACCTGCAACAGGGTCAATTGAGCAGACAATGAGGTTGCTTCAGTTTGCAGGGTTTGAACTTTTCTTTCAAGCTCAGCTATGTACCTCATCTTCCTTTCCTTTGACCTAGCAGCTGACTGCCGATTTGCCCAAATCCTATCATAGTAAGAAAATAAATTTGCGAATGATGTAAACCAGTCACACGATCCATGGGTTAAGCAGAAGCAATAAAAATATAAACACATAAATAAAAAAGGATAACATGAGTTATACAGAATACGTGTTCATTTATAGCAATAATACAATATAAAAAGAGTTCTGTCATAGAAGCAAGTAAGAATTGACATTGACCATCTACAAGAAGCATAGTCAAGGAATAATGGAAGAACAAAAATAAGGATGTATTAATAAAGATATTAAGAGCAAAAATAAGGATGTATTGACGGATATATTACAATCATGTATCAAATATAGCAAAACACGGAAACTTTAAATGAAGTTTATGAACATATTAACAAAGGTATTAATGCATAATTTGATAGAGAATATTGCAAATAAAACATTTTTCACATGGAAGGTAGAAAAAAGAACTGTGCAGCTGACAATATTAATAAAGGATAAAAACCTACTAAACAACAGCAATAAGGGAATTTCAATCAATCCCACAATCAATACTGCATTAAATTCCTAAGTGGTTCAAACTCAAAAGTATCATTTTCAGCCAGGGTCACCTGGAGGAAAAATGAGTCAGTTAGAGAACCTATTGTAATAATGAGTCCACATTTGACCGGAAAAAAATAAGGACCAAAAGGCTGCCAGTCTACTGCAAAAATATCAATAAGATGGTGGGTATCAACTCCTAGTGCCGGTAAGAGAACTAGTCACCCACTTCGAGAACAAAGCTAGATGTTCTTAAACTACAAACATTGAGAAAATAGACTTGGCTTATTCATGATCCATGTAAAACTGCTCAGAACATGGAATTCCACAAGACACCCAAAAATTTCTTTCCCCATATATGCAAACACAAAATTTCTTTCCCCATATACAAGCCATATACCAATCAGAATTGATTTCCTCCAAATATGTAGCCAAAAAGAGAATATTGAGATGGATGATGGTTGTCCAACACAGCAATCTCATACAAAAAATATACACACACTCTTGTTTGTATATTTAAAATTTTACTTCTATTTGAGAAGTTTAATTTAAACAAGTTGAATTTGTAGTTTGACAAATTATACCCAGTATAGTCCAGTATAAAAAGTACAATATTTAAGTAAAAAGCATTGACAGAATTCACACAATTTTAGGTCTCCATTTTATCGTTTAGTGGCTTCGCATCATCTCCGGCAGCCAAGTTGTACTAATTTTAAAGCAACAGAAATTGAGCAAAATTGAGTAATACTATTCACTGCTTTGCGAAAATAGAGTATCATTTAGGGACATCTAAGAAAGCATGGGTTTCCAACACGACAGCCCCTTGAATCAAGCAAGGGAACATTTTATACATAAAACATAAATACACTCTCTTCTTCGTACACTTAATTTCACATAACTTCTATAATTTCACATAACTTCTATTTGAGAAGTTTTTGTTTAAACAAGCATTTTTATTAATACAATCAAAGTAAAGAAACAAGCTGAATTTGTAGTTCTACATGCTATAACCCAAAATTATAATACACTTGAAATAAGCACAATGTTTGAGTGAAGTTCATTTAATGTGTTTACACATTGCAGGTTTCCATTTTACCCTTACATGGATTGGCATTATCTCTGGCCAACTAGTACTACTGTCAGAAAGACATTGATGGAAATTTAGTAACATGGATTTCTGAAAATGGAGAATAATTTAGGGACATCCAAGATGGAGCTATGAGAAATATATTGCACGGGAGTAAAATTGTGTTACATTAAAAGTAAGGTGTCTTTATGAACTCCTACTGACCAATACAACATTTGAAAATTCCATACGAAATAATGTCATAGAATCTCTATAAACAAACAAAAGAAACAAATCAATTGATACAATCCATAATGAATAGACTAATAATGACAGCATACCCAGTCTTTTTCCCAATTTAATGTAAAAATAACAAATACCAATGCATGAATTTTATTTTCTTTGGGTAATTAGAGGATTTAATAGGATCTAGTCAGACTCAGACCTGTTCTTAACCATTAGAAAAAAGACAATTAATTTTCTAAGGATGGTCAAGGCGGATAACCTGTCACATGCATTATCTAATTCTATTTTAGTGAAATAAGTATAGTTTAATCTGATACAGGTCAGATGAAATGGAATCAACAGTTCCACAACATTTTTTTTTTTTTCTTTTTTTAACAATAAGTATACAAGACACCTTTTAAACTGTTTTATGTTTGAATTAAATGGTTCCCACCGACGCTCACTTCTTATTCTACTTTTTTAAGGTTTCTAAGTCTGTTTCTTAAATGTCGAGAGAACATATTGTGGCTTTTAAAGACTCTTAAGGTTGGCAGAATTTGGACCCACATCTCTTGTGATGAAGGCAAATATCTATTCAATTAGACAACATAATCATATCCTTGCATAATAATTATTGTATAATGTGTCAATCAATTTATTTCATTTTCTTTCATCATATATATAAATTGTTTAACATTAATTTTTTATAGTTTATGTTCAATGTATGATTCTCAGTTTGATTTGGTTAACGATTCAAAAAAATTATGATTTCAATTCACAATACAATTCTTGATTTGATAAGCGTAGAACTCTTGCATACAGGACACAATCATACAAATTAAGGTAAATATGTTATTTGCCAAACCACAATAGAATATAAATGATACTCCAAACCTTGTGTTGTGTGACGGTTACAACCACAATGACACATGAAACAATCTTCTCCAAGTATAGAGGACACTAGCATTCCAGCCAAAAAAGGGTGCTACAGATGTTAAATGGCATGCAAGGATGAAGAAAAGCAAATTATACCAACCTATGTCAATTTTTCAAAAAGTATGTCAGATTTAAAAATCAATACCTCTTCCAAACATGCCCAAAAAAACAAACAAACAAACAACATCAAATGTTTACTGGTCACATCAAATTGGAGTAGTAGGAATGGCATACTATGTACAAACCTAAACTCATCTTTATTTGCACAACGACAACCCCCTCTGGCTTTTATATTGTATAATAGCATAAACTCAGTAATAAGTATTGAGTAATACTCTCATGCCCTTTCAGCTATACGATTTGCTACACTAAAAGTTCATAACATGACATGGTTCCCAACCATGAAAAGCAATTTCAAATAATAAGATTATCACATTCAGCAACACAACTATTATTTTAAGAATCAAAAGATATCAAAAACCTTAAAAGCACTAAAATGCCTACTGCTTCCATTCCAATGTATATACATGGATAAATGCATACAAAACTAACATAAGGGATGAAATAGTAAATATAAAGGGCAAGAACAGGACAGAAAACTGATGAGCAGGAATATATAATTAGAAGGAAACCAACAACATACTACGTTTCTTCAAGAAAAAGTATAAAATTTTCGCTAAATTCAAGTAAGTTCTTTGTTCAGGTTATTTGCAGTTTCAAGACAAAAAAATAAAAGACATAGGCACGAACCAACCAAACAACACAGCTTCATTAGAAACCCTACCTCTTGGCACGCTTTGGGTCAATAAGAGCAAGCTCAGCAAGCTTAGCAGCAGACATGGATTTCTTAGAATCAGCTGCAGATGCCTCTTCTGAACCTGACATGAGCATCTCAGGCTTAATTGTAGTCGACCCATCCATTGACTGGCTATGCTGATGTCTAACTCTGGGCCTCTCACTAAAAGGAGGGGCCACATTCTCAGTAGGAGAAGTTGCTGAAGCTGGAGTTTGTGCAGCTGCTGCAGAAGATGGCTCGCCAACTTGGAAGGCAGATGTTGCTGAGGATGAATTAAATTTATCCATATCAAGGTACATAGAAAGCAAATCTTCTTCAGTCTCATCTGACAATGAAGGTCCATCCAAACCACCCACAACACCAAGATCACTATCAAAGCTAATGTCATCAGGAAGAGTAAGAATTTCCGAATGGGCACGCCGATGGCCCTTATTCTTTGGCGGGTTATCGGGCATTCGGCTAATATCATGACTAAAATGGCTAGAATCCATAGGAATCCCATGACCAAAATGACCCGTTTCTGAACTACCCCCAGGTCCTAGTGGAGGCAATGTTGATGATGCCATAGGCTCTGATTTCGTATTGAAACTGTTACCCGGAGGAGAAAAACCCGAATACCGTCCTAACGGAGGCAGAAAACCCCCACCATGGTTGGGGGACTTATCCTTTTCCATCTACGAAAATCTCCAAATCCTAGCAGCTCAGACACAAACTGCAATGATCACAAAACACAGAATTGATTATTGTTTTTCAATCAAAGCAAAACCCTAAGAAAAAAGGTAGCTTTACAAGTCTGAGGTTTCAAAAAAACACACACCAAATTGATTGATGTTTCTTCTAAATTTAACAAATGGGTACACAATAAAAAGCTCAGACAAGCTCAGAAAACCCTCTAAACAGGGAGCGCACATAAACCCTAGAAAGCAAAGATGGGTTCTTGAAACTCCGAAAATGGGGGCATCCGAAATCAATAGGTTCTTAAAATAAAACCTTAAAATTACACACACTCAATGCATGGTAGATCCCCAAAACCCTAGAAAAGAAAGATCCAAGAAAGATCCGAGAGGTGTATGAACTTGAAACAAAACGAACAATCACAGAAGTGAAATCACATTCAACAAAGGAATGAAAACCCAAGAAATCAAAATCAAAGAGAGATGAGTGAGGAGAATGGGAAATTCAGGTAAGTTGAGGCATGAGGGAGAGAGAGAGAATTGACAAAATTCTTACGGATTATTTTCCAAAGCTAATTAAATTGATAAAATTCGTGGTCTTCCAAAAGAGAATCGACGAGAAAGCGAAAGTCAATAGACAGCTTTTACATCGAATACACGAATCACCTAATCACATGGCTTCAGAGAGAGACAGATCTGGGAGGGAGGGAGGGAGAGAATACGAAGCTTCCGAGAGATGGTTACGTGTGAGGGCCGCTGATGTATTTATACCCCTTTTTTTAACTCGGTTTGGATCACGTACGTTGACAACACGACACGTGGCGGGTTTGTATAGCAATAATGATTTAGATAATGAGTTCTAAGGTCAAGTTTGGGAAGACTAAAAAAGTGTACTTTTTGTCTTTTTGGACTAAAAAATTGAGGTTGAAAATATGGATGTTTGGGTTAACTTTTTGACTTTTTATTGAAAAATGTGTAATAAAAAATTAAAAAATTGTAAAAATTGGTTTGTAGGGGAAAATTAGGATTGGGAGTTGTGCAGCCGTAATTGTTGACTTTTGGTGAATAGTGTTAACTTTTTAACTTTTTGAGTAACTTTTTGACTTTTTGACTTTTTTGGAAGTACCCAAACTTGGCCTAAATCCATCACTCAACTATGCTTAAGGACCCCAGTGGGGTCACCCAGCAGGATTCTTTAAAAAAAAAAAATTAAATTTTTTAAAGTTGTACATTGTGTGATTGAGATTTAATAACAAGTTATATCAATTTTTTAGTATTAAATCTCAACCACATAATACATCATTTTAAAAAAATTTAAAAAAAAATCACTCTAAAAGATTCTTGGTGCACCCAACACACCCGTTAACCGATCATTGGCCAAATTTTTTTTTATTTTTCTTTTTTTCAACCACCCACCCCCAACGTGGGGCTGGGGGTCACTGGGTCTCGGGCATTATGCATCCATCACTAGTGGTGTGGTGGAAAATGAAATAAAGAAGAAAAAGAGGCACAACATACATTGCGATGATGCCACATCATAGTTTTAATTAGTAATCTCAATTATTTTGGTTACTTCATTAATGATAGTTTTAATTAATGTTCTCAAGCATTATTATTTTGGTTTAGGCATTATGTCAGACTATTTAGTATAATTTTTGTTTATAATTCATTAGATAGAAATAACTTAAATAAATTTTAAAAAAAATTTAAAGTGGTTTGAGATGATCTAAATAATTGTACTTTTTAGACTTTTTATGAAATATGAGTTAGGTTTGAAGTGATGTGGCTTAAATAAGATGATGTGAATAGAATAGTGACTTTTTAACTTTTTTACTTTTTTAGATCATGTCAAACAACACCTTAAAAGTTGAGATAACGATGCTTTTAATTTTTATTTTCTGATTATCAATTTTTATCTTAAAAAAAACTCCACGAACTGGGCCATCATTACAGCTCTAATCATTGTTGCAAACCAAAATAAGTTATAACCAACTCTGTAAGAAACCATCCCAATATTCCCGTTCTTGTTCAAAACCACCCCATTTGGTTTAACAATTAAGAAAAATATTTTTTAATTGAAAAATGCGAAGAATTCATACTTGGAATTTATAATTTCTATCAAATAGATTTGTGTAATGAAAAATTAATAAAGTGTAATAAAAATTTTGAATTGATTTTATTTTCTGAATAAATTTTAAATTGATAAGGGTGAGTTTATAGTGTTATTGTTTTAATTTTTTGTTTTTATTTTTTAAATTCACTTAATTTAGATATATTTAAAAATATATATAATTTGTCAAAAAAATCTAATAAAAATTCACTAAATATAAAAATATATATAAAAATTTAGTATATTTTCATATTTATTGATTTTTTAATTTTTTTATGGATATTTTATTTTTTAAATAAATTTTGATTAGGTGATTTAAAAAATAACAAAATTACGAAAATACAAAAAAAAAATACTAAAGATTAAAAAAATGAAAAATAACCAAATTGAAAAATTATTTTTGAAATTCAAAACCAAAGAGTGTGGTTGGAGTTAATTGGAAACTTAGCAAGGATAGGATGGATATGGATTAATTTTATAACTAGTCTATCACTCATGCTATGCACGAGATAATTATAAATATGTATATTTATTTTAGATTTTTTTTAATATATAAATTATGTTTTTTAAATTTTTTTATAAAAATAATTTAACAATCTTATCACTAATCATAGTGTATGAGAGAAGTTGAAAAGGATACTGCAGTAACTATACACAGATTGTATCTATAATTATTTATATGAGGGGATTTTAAATGCTGATCAGGAGATTTTGACCAAATCTGTATCTATAATTATTTGTATGAGGGGATTTTAAATGCTGATCAGGAAATTTTGACCAAATCAATAAATGCAGGCATGTGGATTGAAAAAAATTAATAAATGCTAATTAGGAAATTTTGACCAAACCAATAAATAAAAGGAGATGACTTCAACAAAATGAGATAACTTCAATCATACAAATCACAATTTTTTTTAATGCTATCTAATCATCATCAATAATTAAAAAAATCAATTACAAATTAAGTCAATTGCTAATTAAAAAACACAATAATTTATTTTTCAAAAAACATAGTGAGTTAAAAAGATCAATTACAATTTTTTGGGTTAAAATACAATCTAATCATCATCAATAATTGATACATTATGTGACCCTAATGAGTACAACCCATTTTGTTTTTTAAAAAATACTGTGAGTTAAAAATCAAATCACAAATTAAGTGAATTGATAGTTAAAAAAACACAATAATTTTTTTCCAAAAAACACAGTGAGTTAAAAAAATCAATTACAATTTTTTTTTCAAAATATAATCTAATCATTATCAATAATCGGTAATTTAAAAATCAAATAAGAAAAAAACCAAATCGAATCATAAATATTTTTATGCTATCTAACTACAATCATATTTTTTTTATAAATAATTGTAAAGAAAAATTATTAAAACAGTAAATAAAAGATTAAATCACATTAAAAAAAAGAATCATTGAACAAACTACAATCAAATCACATTTTTCCCATAATAAAATAAATAAATAAATGAAAAAAAAATCATTGACTAACTACAATCACATTTAAAAAAAAGAACCATTGAACTAAGTACAATCACATTTTTTTCTTTGTGAGTGTTTATGTTTATCTAACGTTAATTATATTTAAAATAAAACTAAAATAGTAAATAAAAAGATTAAATAACATTAAAAAAAAACCATTGAACTAACTATAACAATCATATTAAAAAAAATGTCATTGAACAAACTACAATCACATCACATTTTTCCCATAATAAAATAAATAAATGAAAAAAAAAACTATTAAACTAACTACAATCACATTAAAAAAAAAAAAAACATTCAACTAATTATAATCACATTTTTCTCTTTGTGATGGTTTATTATCATATTAAAAAATCAAATTATAATTTTTTATTCGCAAGACAAATCACAAATATTTTTATGCGCTATCTAACTACAATATTAAAACAGTAAACAAAAGGAAAAGTCAAGAAGGAGAAAACAAAAAGAAGACTTACTGTTTGTATACGTGGTCACTGAAGTTGAAAGTGTAGAAGTGAGAAGTTAAGAATGAGAAAACAAAAAGGAGACTCACTATTTGCAATAGGTATGTGAAAAGTTAAAAAGAGTGTATGTATTGGAAAATTTAAAAAGACTTTAACGAATTTAATAAGTGTTAAGTTTTTTTTTTCAAAAAAAAAATCAAATAAATTAAGAAATTAAGGTTCAAATATTGGAACTCCCACAAAACTTGTGAGTTAGAAATAGATATAAATAAATAGATACATATAGATATAGACATTTATATTTGTTTTAAAATTTTTTTAATATACAAATTATTTGTTTTGGAAAAGGTACTGTAGTAATTATGAGAGAAGTCAAAAAGTCTTATGGGTTGAGAAAAGTTAATAAATGTTGAGGTTAATTTTTTTAAAAAAAAAACAAAAAATTAGAAAATTAGAATTGACATATTGGAGCTCCCACAGGTCTTGGGAGTTAGAAACCCTTTTTTGCTTAATATATAGTATAAATTGTAAGATAAATTGTGGTATTAATAAAAATAAAAAATTATATAAACCATGGCTGTCTCCAAACAATCTATATATCTATCTATACTTCTATCTATATCTATACTATATATTAAGCAAAAGGGGGTTTTTATCCTCAAACCTTGTGGGAGCTCCAATCTCCCAATCTAAATTTCTTGATTTTTTTATTTTAAAAAAAAAACTTAGCATTTATTAACTTCTCCCAACCCCCAAGTCTTACCCTCATAATAATACTTTAATGCATTAAGAACAAACATAAAAAAAATTCTTTAAAATACAACACATATGAATTCCTTAAAAAGTCCCAACACATATGATTATTATCTCTCATAATAACACGTTAATGCATTAACAACGAGCAAAAAAAAAATTCTTTAAAAGTCCAGCACATATGATTATTATCAAAATATTAAACTTTAATATAATATAATAAAAAAAAGAAGACATTTAATTCTTTGAAAAGTTCAACACATGATTATTATTATTACAATATTAAACTTTAATATAAAATAAAAAAGAAAAAAGAAGACATTTAAAAAAGGTAAGGTTGTCCTATTGATTGGTTACACTAATTCGGTTCCTATACCAAATGTAATCACTCTGTTCAATTTTTGATTTCGGAATCTATTTTTTAAAAACATTTAATACTAATTTGGTGAGAGAAAAAATTAATGAAAGATGGAAAAAGCACTTGTCATTTTTAAATTATTTTCTTTCTTTTGTGGAAAAATGGATTTTGAAAATTCGAAACATCTTTTTAGTATTATTTTTATTAAATTAATTTTTAGTTTTTTAAGGAAATTAATTTAAGTTCTAAAATTTGGATTGAATGGATGAATGTGTCAATCGGTTCATAATATGGTCTGGTTCAACCCTAGAAAGTTAATGAGAATCTTATTTCAACCCTCTCTGTCAATAAATAAACACACAATTTGTACTATATGCTTAATCAAAATCTCTGTCACACCAAATATTCCAAATAAAATTGGATGTGAGTATCTCAAAAGTTGGTAACCCAGAAATTGGATGCGAATCTGGTGAACCGACTTTCCTTTGATCATTTCCGCCACATTCTGGCACAGTGCATCCAGCAATTCCTTCACATCGAGAAAGTTGGCTGCCGTTATCAGATCGTAAAGAGCTTCCTGACCTCTATTTGCAAACTCAGAGTCCAACGTTTTGAGATCACTGGCTGCTTCAGCTTCAGATTCAGCATGCTTCTTACAGAATTCAATCACCATCGCGAGTATATTGGCATCGACATTAGGCACTGGAATTGTGTTAGAGGCACATTCATCTTCCATCATGTTTTTTATAGTCTACTGCAATCACCTCTGGTACGATGAATTCCTCTCCATCAGAGTTCCTCAGTATCAGCATCTTCTTCTCCAATGATGATCACATTATGGTATTTGACGGATTGTAATTAGAAGTGGATTATTATGCTACAACCAGACTCCACTTTTCTCAACTACAAAACTTGACTGCTTGATAGAAAACAAACAAGAATGGGTGGTTTTGGGGGTGTGCATCTATATAGAGAGACATATATAGGAGCTCTCTCTCCAAGTTAGATTCGAGGAGGATTTGGAATCCATATATGGAAACTTCCTACTTCTTCATGTGTTTGTTAATTGTAAGCTTTGTTCCCACAAAGACTAAGAAATACATGTACGAAAATTTTATAAAAAAAATAAAAAAATAAAAAAATTACAAATTTATATTTAAAAAAAAAAGAAGACATTTAAAAAAAAAAGAAAAAAAGAAAAGATTTAAAAATTGCAATCTATCATACTATCTATACTATATATTAAGCAAAAGGGGGTTTTTAATCCCAAGTCTTGTGGGAGCTCCAATCTCCCAATCTAAATTTCTTGATTTTTTTATTTAAAAAAAAAATCTTAGCATTTATTAACTTTTCTCAACCCCCAAGTCTTACCATCATAATAACACTTTAATGCATTAAGAACAAGTATAAAAAAAATTCTTTGAAATCCAACACATATGAATTCCTTAAAAAGTCCCAACACATATGATTATTATCCCTCATAATAACACTTTAATGTATTAAGAACAAATATAAAAAAAATTTCTTGAAAAGTCCAATACATATGATAATTATCAAAATATTAAACTTTAACATAATATAATAAAAAAAGAAGACATTTAATTCCTTGAAAAGTCTACCACATATGATTATTATCAAAATATTAAACTTTAATATAATATAAAAAAGGAAAAAAAGAAGACATTTAAAAAAAAAGACATTTAAAAATCACAATTCACATATATAGATAATTATATATACTATATATTAAGCAAAAGTGGGTTTTTAATCCCCAAGGCCTGTGGGACCTTCAATATCTCAATTTGAATTTTCTAAATTTTTCATTTTTTATTTTAAAAAAAAAATTCAGCATTTATTGATTTGGTCAAAATCTCCTGATCAGTATTTATTAACTTTTTTCAATATATATTAAACAAAATGAGATTTTTAACCCAAAGGCCTGTGGGAGCTTCAATATCCCAATATGAATTTTCTAAATTTTTTATTAAAAAAAAAGCTCAGTATTTATTGATTTGGTCAAAATCCCCTGATTAGCATTTGTTAACTTTTTTCAATTCACGTGCCTTTCCACATGCTTACATTTATTGATTTGGTCAAAATTCCCTGATCAGCATTTAAAATCCCATCATACAAATAATTATAGATACAATTTGTGTATAATTACTGTAGTATTCTTTTCAACTTCTCTCATACACTATGGTTAGTGATAAGATTGTTAAATTATTTTTATAAAAAATCTTAAAAAACATAATTTATATATTAAAAAAATCTAAAATAAATATAAATATCTATAATTATCCCGTGCATGGCACGGGTGATAGGCTAGTACTATATATTAAGCAAAATGGGGTTTTTAACCCCAAGTCTTGTGGGAGTTCCAATCTTCCAATCTAAATTTCTTGATTTTTAGATTTAAAAAAAAAAACTTAACATTTATTAACTTCTCACAACCCCCAAGTCTTACCCTCATAATAACACTTTAATGCATTAAGAACAAGCATAAAAAAAATTCTTTGAAATCCAACACATATGAATCCCTTGAAAAATCCCAACACATATGATTATTATCCCTCATAATAACACTTTAATATGAATTCCTTGAAAGGTCCCAATACATATGATTATTATCTTTCATAATAACACTTTAATACATTAAGAACACGCATAAATTTTTTTTTTTGGAAAGTTCAACACATATGATTATTATCAAAATATTAAACTTTAATATAAAATAAAAAAGGAAAAAAAGAAGACATTTAAAAAAAAACAAGACATTTAAAAATCACCATTCACATATATAGATAATTGTAAATATATTAAGAAAAATGGGATTTCTAAACCCCAAGTCTTGTGGGAGCTCCAATCTCTCAATCTTAATTTTCTAAATTTTTTATTTAAAAAAAAAACTCAGCATTTATTGATTTGGTGAAAATTCCCTGATCAGCATTTATTAACTTTTTCCAATCCACATACCTGCATTTATTGATTTGATCAAATTCTCTGATTAGCATTTAAAATCTTTTCATACAAATAATTATAGATATAGCCCGTGTATAGTAACTGCAGTAGCTTTTTTAATTTCTCTTGTACACTATGATTAGTGATAAGATTGTTAAATTATTTTTATAAAAAATCTTTAAAAACATAATTTATATATTAAAAAAAATAAAACAAATATAAATATCTATAATTATCCCGTGCATAGCACAGGTGATAGGCTAGTCTATACTATATATTAAGCAAAATGGAGATTTTAGCCCCAAGCTTTGTGGGAGTTTCAATCTCCTAATCTAAATTTCTTGATTTTTTGATTTAAAAAAAAATAATCTTAGCATTTATTAACTTCTCCCAACTCCCAAGTCTTACTCTCATAATAACACTTTAATGCATTAAGAACAAGCATAAAAAAATTTCTTGAAAAGTTCAACACATATGATTATTATCAAAATATTAAACTTTAATATAATATAATAAAGGAAAAAAAGAGGACATTTAAAAAAAAAAAGACATTTAAAAATCGCAATTCACATATATAGATAATTGTAAATATATTAAGAAAAATGGGGTTTCTAAATCCCAAGCCTTGTGGGAGCTCCAATCTCTCAATCTTAATTTTTTAAATTTTTGATTTTTAAAAAAAAAACTAAGCATTTATTGACTTCTTCCAATCCACAAGCCTTTTTGACTTCTCTCATAGTTACTGTAACCCCCTTTTCAACTTCTTGCATACACTATGGTTACTGATGGGATTGTTAAATTATTTTTATAAAAAATCTAAAAAAATAGTAATTAATCCATTTAAAAGGAAAGT